TGAATATAATCTATCAGGATACTAGGGTAAACACTATAGTTGCAGGCAGTAAAAATTTTTAGACAAAGTGCGCGAAGACGTGATAAGAATAATAATAAAACAAAGAAACCAAACAAAAACAAAAACAACTCTTGCGGTATTCTGTTTTGGCCCCCATTTTACAATTAAAGAGAAAAAATCAAGTTTTTTTTTTTAATTTGACGTTCATCATTACTTCAAAAACTAACAAAACGCTTAGAATCTATATAGACGTATATACGACGTTAAAAAATAATATCAATTATATCATTAAATTATTATCTTCTTGTATTCGGAAAAGACTTTTCACACAAGAATCCAACAGTAGTGTTTCAATTGTGTAATCCACACATTATACTGTTTACCCTAAGGAAAGTGAGAAGAACGCGTCAATTCAGTGTCAATTTCCCTTTCATTTCCTGTTAGCTTAAATAGATATCGTCGACCCTGCATTTTAAGCATCATTCAGATCAGATGACTGATACATTTATATTGCATATAAAAAATTGATGATACTTTTTTCTTCCCTAACTTTATTAAATGACGATGCACGACAGGTAGATCTATGCTAAGTTTTACATATCACAGAACTACGCGCGCGTCCGCTATTCGTATACTATTTCGCTGAAAGAAAGAAGAATGAGATAGAAAGGTACAGAGAGAAAATCAAAGAACGCGGAGGAACAGAAGTGAAGAAAGATAATAGAGAAAAAAAAGAAAAAACGAGAGAAGAAGACGAGGAACAAGCTCGAAATGTGCGTCAACTGTTTGCGAAAAAGATTTGCAATGCGAAGAACGGCCACACCACTTGATTCGAGGATAGGAACAAAATTGTCATGACTCAATAGCGGACGCACGCAATGCGCGAGAGTATTCAGAATTTTTTTTTTTTTTTCGTGCTCTCAAACACATACGTTTTCATTATATTACTATTTATCGACGTATGCAGTCACTGACAAAGAGTCGCGTCAAGCTCAATAATCCGTCGACCCAAGAATCCTAGAAATCAAACGATCTTTCGAAGATTTTAAAGAATCAATAACGAATCAATAATGAATTATATCTGTAGGGGAAAGATATCTTTAAAAAAACAACGTACACAATGCACACACATACATATATATGTATATATATATATATATGTATGTATATATTAAAGAGAAAGAAATATTCCGAAATAGTAAGTTTCACGATTCTGCCAGAACTTATGAAAGAAACTTGGAAACGAAAGTTTTTGAAGACTTGGAATTTTTATTTTCCGAGGAAACTCCGTGCGCGCGCGAAAACTTCTATTGAAATTCCAGAAGAGAATGCCATTGTTTTCCGAAGAATAGAAAACCTTCGTACGCAAATACATCGCCACTCAAGTTTTGCGTCAGTACGCACAACTGTGTGCTTATAAAATATAAATGCCTCTGTGGATATTAACGAACCTTGTTTTTTTTTTTACAGCGTTCTCAGGCGTGTTCGTGGTGTTTCGTTAAGATAGAAGCTAGTAGGAATGATTTATGTCACATGAACATTTTATTTAGATATTACCGACATTCTCACGCATGTAGAAGAAACGCGTGCTTGGAATTTCACTGAAGTTTCAAAATTGAATACTCACACAAAGTTTCAAGATGATGTAATTTAGGATTTAGTCAGACTCAGAAAATCTGCTTCAAGATCCCCGTTACCAAATCTTATTTAACAACGTAAGTATCAGCGATATATCGAAATATGAACCTTCGAAGATGAGAGGATTCCAAGGCACGAGCATTCAGGAACCACGAACATATCCCATCACAAACTTCGTTTTTCTGAAACACGTTTATTGACTATCAGATTTCTCTTGAGAATTTCCTACGGTGAAAAAACACTGAAAACTTTCGCGTCAATTAACGACATCCGATCTACGAAATTCGTGCTACGATTCCGATTGATGTACACGGGAATCTGATCCAACAGATCTGAATGAGAGACCGTTCTTTATTTGGCCGAAAAAGGAATTTCTTCTTGGCGTTTGTTGTTTCTTTTGCTGCAACTCGTGCACTGTGTGCGTATAACAAATTTACGACGAATTGTTTCGTGATAGTGAGTCGCGCTACAGTTTTAAATAATCGCCGCGCGCGACAACAATCAACAATTATTCGTTAATGGCGTCCCTGCGCGAATATATTCCTACATTTGTTTTTTATTTAATCTTGCATTTTTATTCCTATATTTATACATTATTCATATTTTATAATTCTCTGGTTTTTCCCAAGAATTTCGAGCGAAAGAAAGAAAGTTAGTTTAGTCTTTCTATTGCAATTTTTTTACACATGTAATTGTCAGTTGAGATACATATTTAAAAAAGCAAAGAAAAAAAAAGAAAAAAAAAAAAAACATACAACATATTCAGAGACACGAGATATAAAGTTTTTTTTCAACCTCAGAAGAAATATTTATACGTTGTATTATTATGATCGTAACGAATTATTGTTTTACAGTCGTTTTACTATTTGATTGCACATTCATCATATATTTATGAATGATTAAACTTGTGTATATTTAACGATATGTATGCATATAAATATACATATATATATATATATATTTATAAGAAAAAAAAAAAATTAACTTACGCATTTGTTTTAGAATTGGGAGCAATCTTATTCTCGTGAAGCTGTTTTTTCTTTGTGCTTATCACAAGATATATTTTTAATAGTTTACTCTTTCTTTCATTAAGACCAGAGAATTAACATTTTTCTCGTTTTCATCGTCTCTTACTATTTCTCTTTCTTTCTTTTTTTTTTTTTCTCAATAGTTATTACATGATATACGGTGGTATGTGCAGAGTAATCTGGAGGCTCGCAAAATTGCTACACGCTACGAATAAAATGTATCACACATGCCCTAACAGCGTATGCCAATTATTCGGTTTAATGAGTAATTTGGGCATGTTGATTAGAAAACGTCCTCCGGTACCGCAAAGGGCTGCTTCAGAATACAACAATATGTTATATCCTTAATTTGTTATGCGCAAGACGAAGTTTCTTTCTTCAACCAATATCCGTTTGGAATTCACCGAACGCAAAAGTTGTTCTCAAAGTTACTCGGAGTTCTGGAAGCACGAAAAAGATTTTCCTTCACATTTCCTGATGCCGAGACGCGTGTCTCTAAGCATTCAAAGCTTCCGATAGTCTCTTTTTGTATCTCATTATATTTCGTAATAAAAAATATTCAAGGAGCTCGAAGTCTTTCGAAATCCGCGAGCTTCGAAAAAAGTCTCGACGAGGACGACGCGTGTCGCAGACGTGATACGAGAGAATAACGTTTTTTTTTTTTTTTTATATTGGTTGAAGAATGAAGTATATAATATTAGGGGAGAAAAACAATTAGTGTTTCTCACCGGGGTGAAAAATTGGCGGCACAGTAATTTGTTTGTCAACTAAATAAACTAAAATAGCAGATACAATTATATTATTAAACAAAAACGGGGCTGCTTCTGCTGGCGGCCAGCCATGCGCTCATAATGTGCGCAAAGACAAGACCACTCAGTGGCCAATTGCATAAACATCAAACAACAATGCATTGTATAATCATTCGTTGGTTCAACAACAAATCGCTTTCGATATATATATAAAAATAAGGTATCAAACTTTTATCGAAATACACAGCCATCATGACTACGTGCTTAATTTACGTTGTCCCCTAAAAGCCATCTGTATCTTTTCAAAAATTCAGCGTTCGAACTTCGTCAGTATCCCCTGGATTACAAACATCAAAGATGAGACTTTGAAAAAAAGTTATATTATTTTACGGTTTACGTGAGTTTTTCTCAAATATAAAAATTACTTGGAAGGAAAACAGAATTGCACAAGTTCTAGAAACTATTTTGAAGTAGTCGAATCTATTAAAAGTTCTTAAGATTCGAAAATGACTAAGTCCCTAGAAAAAAAAAAAAAAAAAAACTCACCCTCCTAACAATCCTACAAGTACAATCTCCTTCGGGGATTTCTCCAAGAATCCAGGGAACTCGAAGCTTTTGTTCAAACTTTTGCAAGTTTTTTTATCGAAGTACTTGAGATACTTATTTTTAACGCTACGATTAGTTGTATTTAAGTGCCCAAAAATTAGTCCAGTTCCGTCAGCGAAGCTGTTCCAAACGCGAATGAACGTTTCCAGTCAATTCTTCTCTTCTCGCACCTTTTTTTTCTCTTAACCCTCAAACGGCCAATTACGAACAATATATGGCGGAGAATATATTAAACCCTTAGTAAAATATATATCATTTTTTACGAGTTTCTAAATAAAAATATGTACATACATATATGTGTGTATATATATATAACTATCTGTTGTTCGTTTCAATTGGGTTCGATAAAAAGCGATAATATCAGTTTGAGTTTAACACCGATATTCTCTCTTCCGCGTATATTTGCAATATTCGAAGGCTGAAATTAATTAATTTCACATGCACAATTATTTCCCCGACATTGTGAAATGTTATTTCAGGTCTGTTCGTGTTGCTTACACTTGTTTTGCGATTTTCGCATTTTAAGCATAAAATACGTGTACGCTTCGGTAAGAAGAGGAAAACGGAAATACAAGCGCAAAGAGTACGAGCAAAACGAACAGGCACGTCGTTTCTTTATCGTCTTCATCGGCCCTATTCCGCAATCGACATTGTAAGTCGTTATCGGTCCTGGTCTTACTGGTCGCTATTGGCGACCTACTTAGTTGGATCGACCATTAGATAATGGACTGGTTTTGACACAAGATATCCGACGAACGACGTACGATAGACTTATTGCAGGACGCGGCCTCGCGAATGGATCTCAAAATTGGCCTTGATAAATCGACAAGCGAGGGTTAAAAAACTTCCCTTCCACTTCGGAACAGAGGGCATTTACAACTTTATTATGCACGTAAAAAATGGCTTAATTTTTATGCAAAAGGCCTTACAAAGTTTTTTTCTCGCAAAGAGTATATCGCGCTTTGTTTATTTTTACTGCATATTTTTTTTCTTTCTGTATATGTGTAATCACACACACGCGAACTATATATAAATAAATTATAAATTATTATACCTTGATAAGTCTTAACTCACCCCCTTCTATATGTTTCGTGCATTTCGGGAAAAGCATTTTATATAATATAGTTTTACATAGCACTCGCACAAGAAGATAACTAGTCTCAGTGATATTATTAGAGAAATTTGTAGACTGTGTTACACGTGACAACAGTCGACATCTAGATATTATAGATATTGTGTAATGTGCTCATCGATTAACGATGCTAAACGCTACATGAAAAATTCGAAAAATTGGAATGTGCCACGATTTTTAATAAATGTGCCGCACCTGGGATAAATTTTTTATTTACCCGTTAATTTAACAATTTGAATCCCGCGTGTTTATGGAATTTTGATAGATAAAATTGTTTTTTAAGAGAACAGAATGTGTGTAATAAAAGAATCGTAATTAATTCTTTCGTTACAAAAAAAAAGTTGTCCGGAATATGTGATTCTCCGCGAGAGCAAAAGAGTTTGTGAATCAAGAGTGCAAAATCGCACCGATTCTGTCTTTCTGCGGTATGTATACACGTATATTTCCTCTGTATGTATATATATAAAAAAATACTTGCATCTGAAATGAATGAAAATAAGTTGTATAACATATAGTTATAACACAAAGTGATTCTTCACACGCAAGCACAGTGGCATTGGGCGGTCGTTCTCTGTTGAAGTGATTTTGTTCCGAACGAAAAGATTAAATAAATAAATGATTATTAATATAATTACAATAAAAATAAATCGTCTTATGTTCAATATTGAGTTTTTAATAACTCATAAATGTTCTAAATTATTGCAATTAGATATGACACACGGCTCTCTTCCATACAATTATATAGTTTCAGTTCTATTTTGATCATTAATTTATTCAAATTGTTTAAAAATGTATACACATATTTCCTGAAGTTAGCAATATTTTTATTTTTAATTTTAATTTTTGATGATTTTATTTTTATTTTTAAATCAAATTATTATTAAAATCCAAATTGTTAAACTGTCGGCTTGTTTTTGAAATCTTACCAAGTGAAAACCAATTTGTTTGTTTGTTTTTTTTTTTTTTTTACATCCATATATGAGTTGTGTTTTCTTATTAACAATATTCTGTCGTTAATATTTCGAAACAAATTATGTTTTAAGGTACGAAATTGGCACAATTCCAAAAAAGAACAAAGAAACAAGAACAATTATATTATATCTAAAGATACTTATTAGAGACTGTCGATTCTCTTCAATGTTGACAAAAGTTAAATATGACAGAGAGTTGAAAAAAAAATCAAACAAAATATTAAATATCAAACAAAAAGTAAGTTCATCTCTCTAATTTTTGAATAATAAAAAAAAAAGTAGCAGAAGAGAAGAGTAAAAGATATGTAAACTTGATTGTATAGTCAAAAAAAAAAAAATTTTCTTTTAACAAAACATGAAAATAACAACGCAACAATAAGAATAACATATCATAAACATATGAATTTAAATTTCTGGATATGCTGGACATTAAAGTGAAAGGTCTCAAATTTCCACAAAATCAGCTAACCATCGACAGTCTAAGATTAAGACAAACTATGTTTCCTACCCGGTCAAAGAGTATACGACCCGTTCGACTTCAATAAGATGAACTTGATTACTTACGGTTTACTTAGCCCGTATCCCGACTATTTTGCACTGTGAAAGGCGTCACTGCTGAACCGGTGTAGGTGGATACGGATATCCGTACGGTGTTACTGCCTGAAACTGACCATAACCCATCGATTGATAGGCACAAGCGCCGGTGTTAGGTGGCGGTCGGTTAGTCTGGAAAAACTTGTTATTCACAAGATTTTGAATCCCAGAATCAGCATGGCCATTAGACGGCATCATAAATGGCGGGGGCATTGAGTATACGTTCGGTCCGTTCTGACCGCCGTTGAAACTGTTCTGTCGATTTTGGAAACGATTACCTTGATATCCGGTTCTACCTTGGTATCTGGTTGTGTTGATAGTCTGATGGGTCTGCGGTGGTGTGGTATTGGCCGCCTGATAGTTATTCTGATAATTAGTAGAGGACTGCCGCAGATTCTGTTGATTTTGGGAAAACGAATGTTGAGACTGATAATTGTTTTGACGATTGGCTTGATAGCCATTATTGCGCTGACGTGCCATAGTCTTCTCCTGTGTCACCTGATGTATGTTTGTCTGCGACATATGCTGATTCTGCCAGTTGTTTATCGACGGGCTGATGTTGTTCCTAGGACTTCCGTGGGAAGTGTTGTCCTTAGTGGTGCGACTGTGGCTCCATCGCTGCCGTCCTTTGCCGTATTGATTTTTAACAGAATTCGCCAAATCAGCCAGTTGTGGGTTTATGACTTGCCCAGCTTCCTCCAATACTGCAATCAACTCCTTCGCCTGTCTCGCGTTGTTCGGCGTGAAGTAAGCATAAGCGGTGCCCGCGCTCTGACAACGGCCGGTTCTGCCAATTCTGTGAATGTAGTCCTCTGAACTGTTAGGGTAGTCAAAGTTGATAACGTATTTCACGTCCTCGACATCTAAACCGCGTGCCGCCACGTCGGTCGCAACCAAAATCATAGTTTTTCCATTGCGGAATTCTGACAACACATAATCTCGTTCCGGCTGCGACTTGTCACCGTGAATCGAAATTGCAGACCAGCCGTCACGTTTAATCGTTTTTGTGATATCGTCCACTTTCTTCTTAGTCTCCACAAAGATGATCATCTTGCTGCCGCGTTCAGTTCCAATTTCACGTAACAATTGTGACAGCTTTAACTCCTTCTCATGTTCCTGGCATATTTCGATAATCTGTCGAATGTTGTGATTGGCTGCCAAGGTAAGAGAACCAATATTGATCTGAATATAATCAGTAAGGAAATCTTCTGCTAGAGCTTGCACTTCTTTCGGCCAAGTGGCAGACCACATAAGGACCTGTCTATCAGGACGGATTTGTTCAATAATCTTGCGGATTTGCGGCTCAAAACCCATATCAAGCATTCGATCAGCTTCGTCCAAGACCAGATATGTACATCTACGCAAATTTGTAGTACCCTTTTCAAGGAAATCGATCAACCTGCCTGGTGTCGCAATACAGATTTCTACTCCGCGCTCAAGATCGCGAGCCTGAGGTCCTTTTGGTGATCCGCCAAAAATGCAGGTGTTTCTGATACATGAGGAGGAACCAAAGTCGCGCGCAACCGTTTGAATTTGCTGCGCTAATTCACGTGTTGGAGCAAGAATTAGAACAATCGGACCGTCACCGCGACTGAGACGAGGCTGATTATTGATGTGAACCGTTGCCGGAAGAACATACTACAAAAAGATAAGTAACAAGTTTTTAAGAATAGAGCAAATTCTGCTGTTAAAACCATTTCATTAGATAATCAATCTTTGATTATCTAATGTTTTGCACTTGTATATACACTTACAGCTAAAGTTTTTCCAGAACCAGTTTGAGCAATACCAACTAAATCTCGTCCACTCAATGCAATTGGCCAGCCTTGAGCCTGGATAGCAGTAGGTTCAGCAAATCCTTGCTTTCTGATCTCATCCATTACATATTCTGGGAAGTTGCTTTCCTCAAAGGCCTGAATAGGAGAGGGCGTGTTGTTGCCTTTAACGGTGATCTCTTTGCCCATATGATAACTGGTGATCTCTTCGGATGTTCTGTTGAGAACATTAATATGAGGAACATATAAGTTCTTGGTTATTGAAGGCAACTTTGCTAAGTCCCAAGAAGGTTTTTTTAACATATCTCCTGGAGTCTTTCTATGAGGTTGTTTTTTTATGGTAAAATCTTTTTGTCTTTGTTGCTGGCTGTTCCAATAAGTTCCACCACTTCCTCCATTGTGAGCGCTAGGATCTCGATTTGTCTTGGCTCTGAAACTGATTCAAATCTCTACTTGTATATTTAAAAAGTATCAAAAAATGCAGGAAATGGTAAACTTTTTGTCACAGAACAATTTTTTTATTTGTTACAAAACTCATATCAAGTTGCACAAATTTTTATTTTTTTATACCTAAATTGTTTGATTTTTTTCAAACACAATAAATCTATAATACACAATTTTGAAGTTATTAACTATTATTTTATCATTTTTTTATCAAGTTAATTTTTATATGATATATTTTTTATAATATATATATTTCTTGAGCATATAATCAATTTTGATTGGAACAAATATTTTAAAAAAATCCGTCCGGGCACTAAATTCTTAAATTCCGTCGGATAAAATAAATCGATCTCACTTTACCAGAAAATGGAACAACCAACTACCCATTTCGTATCACAAAATGGCGGTCGACAAGGCAAGAAGAAAGCTTGCAATCTGACAGCCATTGCAAAAATCTTCCTACCTTCTCGTTAATTTTTTTGTTACCTCCAGATCTCGATTCAATCTCTATTTAACGTACCTGTTGTGAATTTGCGAATATCCGTTCGTATACATGTTGCCGTTAATTTCTGCGGACCTTCGGACTTGAAATCAGCAGTGACTCCAACGACTATGGACCACGAAGTTGCGAGAACAATCTTGATCGGTGGATATAATTCTTCTTTGTTGGCTGGCGAGATCGGGTGTGGACGTCCGGTAACTAATTTCTATACAATCTGATGTTCCGTCGGGAGTGGCGAAACTTGCGAGCTGCAACGGACAGTAGTGGACAAGCTACTGATCACCCCAGACGTTGAATCCACAGACCGAACCCGATGAAAGCCGGTGAACGAAAGGAACAGAGAGCCAAGATGGCTGATCAATTCGCAGTCGTTTCAGAGAGAGAGACGACGGAAGACGGAAACTGCCGACCAGATAATCGGCAACATTGCATTGCTGTATCGATCCAAGCACGCGCAGACGTACTAGCAAATATAGGCTGTTCTAAAATTCACTGCCAGCGTCAAAAATCCATAACCGATGTTCATATATATGTATATATACCTATATATATATAGTCGAATCTTGTAAGATTATTTTAAGTTTATTATCAAATGATTTGTCATCAAATGAAACGGTTCGTATGGCATCTCAAAAGGAACTTAAGACAATATTTCATGTAGTTGCATTTTCGAAAGTATTGATTAGATCGTTGCTCTCCCGGAGCGATTTACGATGTCAATTTGACGAATTGACCAATCACGTTACTTGATTTATAATATCGCATATTTCTTATACATTTCACGCGATCACTATGGCGACTTTATTCTTTATGCTTATTTTTGTACAAATAGTCTTACGCTACGCGATTTCGGATAGCCCTTACACAATTCTCTCTTGTACCTGACGCTGGGTCTGTTTGCGTCTTTTTGCTGGAAAATACAGATTTCTAGAGAAATCTGTGCTGAAAAACCAAGTTGACAAATGATCGATGGAGATCCTGTAAAGCCAATAACACACGAAAAAAAAATAACACACGAAGCAGTAAGCAAATCAACCAATCACAGAACAGCGTTTTCTCGAATGTAAGCTACTACGTAATCAGGTCATCGTATTTTCTGGAATTTTCTAGAACGTAAACTGTAAGATAGAACTGTAAGACAATGGAGAGAATGATTTGAATTTGTGATTGGTTGATTTGCTTAAACTGCTTAAGTTTTTTGAATATCATGGACTTTGAGTGAGGACTTTATTCTTCAACATTGATCCAATCAACGTTGCTTGCACGTTGCTGTATTTCATCTTCCATGTTGCTGATATTTTTCGACATGGGCGTTTCTAGAAGGCGCTATCTGCGCTACTGCGTCATTCTATCCTTGTTTCACATCTTATGAGGAACAAAGACGGAATAATTCAATAGCGCGCTTCCCGGACGCAGCCATAGACACATGGTCATATGCTCTTCTGGTTATACTAAAGAAAACTTTTGTTTTTTTTGAAGATTACATTGCGAATAACAATATGGTTCTACTAGGCGAAATATTTCCAGACTTCACGGCAGACACGCAGATAGGCACCATCGAATTTCACAACTGGCTGGGCGATTCGTAAGATTTGTTTGTCATCTAAACTTTACTATTTCAATAAAAAAGTTTTTACATCTGTATACTATTCATACATATTCGTTATGTAGAAGAGTATTCAGTGCTGTTGTATCGAGAAGTATATATTTTTTTGGAATTAGTTAGAAATTTTTAAATAATATTTAATTTTTTTGTCACATTTTTATAAAACAGATGGGGAATTTTATTTTCTCATCCGAATGACTTCACGCCAGTGTGTACAACAGAATTGGCACGAGTTGCAAAATTGATGCCTGAGTTTAAGAGATTAGGTGTAAAAGTAATTGCATTGTCTTGCAATTCTGTCGATTCCCATCGTAAATGGATTGAGGTTTGCTTTGTGTATAGAATAACTTTTTGAATATCAAAAACTTTTGAATTTTTAAGGTTTTTTAATTCACACACAAACACACACACACACAATAAGATTTAATATAACTTAACATATTTTATATTTGTATTCCAGGACATAAAAAGTTATGGAAAAATCACAGAGGAGGAATTTCCATATCCGATAATAGAAGATCAATCCAGAAAATTTGCCACAATGTTAGGAATGTTAGATCCAACAGAGACAGATCAGTCTGGATTACCCATGTCAGCACGAGCTGTGTTTATAATAGATCCGGCTAAAAAAATGCGCTTATCTATTTTATATCCAGCTACTACTGGTCGCAATTTTGAGTAAGAATGTTTCATATCATGTACACATACATATAAATATTCTTTTAAATAGTTGATTGAACATTGAAAAACCAATAAATGTTAAAATTGTGTATCTTAATTTTTGCAGTGAAATAGTAAGGGTAATTGAATCTCTTCAGCTTACGGACAAATACAAAGTGGCAACTCCTGTAGACTGGAAGGTAAATTTCATGGAATTAAAATCACAAAGTTTTTAATTTCCATCTTCATTGCTTGCAATTAGATTATTAAGATAACAATCTAATCATTACTTTATCGATTAACAATTCAGTTTTTACATATGTGTATTTTAGAAAGGAGATGACGTAATGATTGACCCAAAAGTATCAGATAGTGAGGCTAAAGCTTGTTACAACGACATCAAAACAATACCGTTGCCTTCGGGCAAAACATATTTACGTATTGTACCACAACCTATTGACACGTAAACACATTCTTATCGATCTTAAAGATGTAAGATACAAACCATCATTCTCTCTTTTATTAATTTAAACGTTAAGTTTACTTACACGCGGACATATGTTGTTTATAAAATAAACAGTTTGTCTGTTTGTCTTTTAATACATATATTTTTATCACTTTTATATAATTGTTTCACGAATCATTTACTTCACGTATATTTTATTCGTGAAGTTCCTCGATACTCGAACGTCAAGTACAATTTGACAGTAACAACGTCGCAAGAACTCAAATAGACATAAAGTACAAAAGTCCGTCTGCGTTGTTTATAGTTTTTTACAATTTTCAGAATAAGATAGATGTATGTTCATACTTTAGAAAGAAAAGGAGAAGGAAGTAAGTTAAAAAAAAAATGTAAGCAACACGAACAAACTCACGTCTGCACAAAGCGGGATGAAAACATGCCTAGTTTTGTTGCACTTTGTGTGGAATTGAGTGTTCAGCGACAAATCAAAAGAAAACATTCAATAAAGCATCTAAAATATACGGGCATTTCAGAGTGTGAGAAACACAATGCTGTGATTTGTGACAAATATTATGTTTTATTGTGTAGTATTTCATGTGCTCTATTTCACACACGTGTATTTAATTATAGAAATAATCTTATTTTTATACAAAATCCACCAATTGACTGTTGACACGCAGTGTATAAATTTTCAAATTGATACGCAAGGTGTGCAAAGTTTAAGATTACTTTTAAGTTTTAATATACATTGCAGAATATGTTTGTTTTTAGAAGTACAAAATTTAATTTTACAATAAATTAATCACCGACGGATTGTCAGGTCGATTTTGCTTTTTTAGGGATCAGGATTTGCCTATTACAAAATGGCAACGTCACGAAATATCTTGTAAATCATGTTTTCAAAACGACGTTTGCAACGACCACCGTCACTACACCGTATGACTCATCTGAAGACAAAGACTGCGTTTAACAAGCGTGCTATCAGTCTAAAGCGTCATTCCATTTTATTGCTCATTAGACATAAAACACGGACATAGAACAACAGTTTAGCGCTGACAGCGTCCTTCCTTTTCGAACATATCCAAAACGTGCGTTACAAGGTTGAAACATAAATCAGAGTTTGACTTACCGTTTTTCGAAATATTGCATTCGACAATGTTGGCCGTCAACACAATGCGATTTTTTTTACCACCAGCACAACACAGGCGCGCGCTACGCGCACGCTATTATTGCTTTTATTTTAACGTGTAGTGTGAGTGAACTTAACCTGTCACCACAATGACAGCTAATATATACGTCCTACAAACAATATAATACACATGATGTACATATGAGAGATGTCAGAAATAACGCATGAAAATCAAACTCAAAAAATAAAAGAAAAAAGGAAGAATGGAAAAACAACACGTGACTAAAGTCAATGACCTCGCCGCGGTCACGTGACTGAGGTCAATGACCCCGCCAAGGTCGCGCGGCCGAGTCAATGACCCTCCCCTCACCACGGTCGCGCGGCCGAGGTCAGTTATCTTACGGTAGTATGTATATAATATACAGGGTGTCCCAGAATAGCCGTACAATCTCTCGTAGGCAGATAGAAGGAATAAAACTGAGTCGAAAAGTCTTGAACCATTTTTTTCTATTATTTATAATAAAGGAGTAATTATTGAGTAAAGCGGGCCAATCAGCGCAGACCTTTAGTCACGCGCACGTCAGTGAGCCGCGCGCCTGGTGTTTGTGAGCGCTCACTGACGTGCGCCTGGCTAAAGATCGGCGCTGATTGGCCTGATTTACTCAATAATTACTCCTTTATTATAAATAATAGAAAAAAATGGTTCAGGACTTTTCGACTCAGTTTTATTCCTTCTATCTGCCTACGAGAGATTGTACGGCTATTCTGGGACACCCTGTATATAATATACAATATAAAGTATAATATTATACTTTATATTGTATACTATATATAAATAAATTATATGTATAATATATATTTTTTATTTAATGTTATATATAATATAAATTACAATCACGTTACTTTAAATAGTCATAGTGTTGTTTTTCTACTCTTTTCTGTCAAGTGACTTTACTTTACTTTAGTCACGTTTTTAATTTTCTCCACGTAAATGTGTAAAATTGCAAATCGATTAGAGGACGAGCCGTTTTCGAGATATTGCGGTGATATCAGACGTTTTCTTAGTCTTATTTTGAGAAAAGTTTTGTGTACTGATCTATTTTTCGTTAATTTTGTTAAAATCATTTCTACGCACTTCCCTTTTTGCAATTTGCAAACTAATTTCATAATTGTTAACCGTTTTTTATGTACACATGCTATTTAAAAAAATCAATATATACCTTACTATACTTTCCTTACTTGTGTTTTTAGTTGGGTTGATAAAATAAATTTCAAATTCGACTTCTTGATATCTGCAAACAACAAAAGAAGCTGTTTATTGTTTCATCTAAACGTAAGTAAAAGTACACTGCGTATTGTTATATACATTTTTTTCCAAGTACACGATCACTTACTGTCTCTATAGGCGTAATATATATTATGTACAGTTTTCTTTCCTTTTATTAAGTTATTACTGTAATTATACTTCTCTACGATTATATTTCGCTTTGCGTTTCTTGCTTGTAAATTGTTTTATGCGCAATAGCGAGTACACGACTTTATAATAACAATATATACACATGTACGTATACACACATACATGCACTTATTACGTATATACACGTACATGTATATATATTTTATATATAAAACACTCTCTGGTCAAAATCGATAAGATATAGTGTGTGTGTTATGTAAGACAATAAATTTAACAAAACTATACCTTTTCATCATCATCTTTCTCATCATCATCATTATCATCATCATATATATATATGTATATATATGTATGTATATATATATATATATGTATATATATATATATGTATTTCATTACGAAATTAAAAATTAATTACTACACAAATGATCGCGTGATAAAATACTATTCGCAGCCTTTGTATTTTTTTTTTTTAAGAGACTTCTTTTTCAGCCCTTTTTTTAATACACATACACTGTCACCGTACACTTTTGCCAATGACTAATAATAATAACATTATTAATAATAATAATAATGATAATAATTAATAATAATTAATAATACGCAGTTAATCTTCTGCAAAATAAAGAAGTTCTATTTGTTCACACACGTTCACACATAATCGAGAAAGCGCACTACAGCAGTTTTTTTTTCTCAATGTCCGTAGCTCTTTCAATGTATTTGTGCTTTTAAAAATCAGTTCACTTTAGAAACATCATCTTGAGTAATTCCAGTTATATGTCAAGTCCAGAAATTTATCTACAGATCTTCGTTGTGCGCGAGCAGTGTCACAATCAGAGAAATAGAAGAAAACCCCGCGGACATAAAAATCGTAAACACGGAATTTTCTCGTCATGTCCAAAAACTTTCTTATAGTCGTCGTTTTTTTCCCGTCGCAGTAACTCGACGAAACTTTGTGAATCACTCGGTAGACGTAGGATTATCTTGCTGTTGCTCGGAGTGCATCTCGCCCTCCATTCGCGCCTGTCGCTCCGCAGCCGCTCGCGCCTGTCGACCGGCGCTTGAGCGAAGATTCTTCCGTTCCGGAGGCGGCTCTAAGCTCAGGCGCTTGCCGCTACGCGCTTTTTTCGTCTTAGGACCACCTTTGCCATCCTCTTCGGTCGTTTCTGACGCGGCTTTCTGACCGCTATCGGTTTTTGTCGACGCGCCGGAACTTTGTGTCGACGGTGACGTTGCATTGCTTGACGTGGCAGGCATGGTTGTCTCGCTCACTTCTTTCTTTGGCGGACTTGTTTCCGCAGACGAGACATCGATCTCTTCTTGTGAGGGCACCTGTGTCGTTGTTTTGGTTGGTGTTGTTGGTAACGGTCTCGGAACCGGTTCGATCTCCATTGTCACCACGTCGTTATTCGATGACGGTTTCGAATTCGCGTCCACTTCGGTGCGCATTTTTTTTGCAACGGGTTCCAGAGTAACCTCGAGCGGTGTTGATGGCGTTGACCGTTGCTGCTGGTCTGAGGTTTGATTGCTGTCCGTACTACTGCGGCTTCTCTTTTCAGATCGTGGCGTATCTTCGACGTTACGCGTGACTAGCTCGGCATTAGTTCTGCTTAAGTGCTCGAGAGCCTCTCTCATCTCTTGTTCCTTACTTTTTCGTTCAACTTTTTTTTCCGACAGATCTGCCGCTATCACGTCCGGCTGTTCCGTCGTTGGTTCTCTTTTCTCATGCTGTTGTTGTTGCTCAAGACGACGTCTGTCTTCGCTACTATGCAACGCCGCCAAGTCCGTATACTGTTGCAAGGTCACAGCAGGGTCTACAGAATATCTAGCAGACTTCTTCTCGGATTCCTTTCGTTTTGATGACGACGATGACGACGTTGATGATTCCGGCATAGATTCGCGCTGTCTCGAAGAAGATCCGCTGGATGCAGGTTTACGTGATGTAGATGAGGCGCTAGGTATCGGTGGATTCAACAAACCTTGCGCTAGACTCTCATAGGCAGTCGACACGCCACCAGATTGCATGGAGAACGGATTCAAACCGCTTAAGGTGGTTAGCGGTGGATAAATGAGACTGGGGTTTGAGAAGAAAAATGGGAATGGCAAACTCGTTGCAGCCGAGGCGGCGGCAGAAGTTGATGAGCTGCTGGCCGACGATTTACTCGTCGTCGGTTGGTCAAGTTTGCTGCTACGTGACTTACTGTTGCCGCCACTGTTGCTCATGCTAGATGACGAAGTACTCGCTCCACCACTCTTGTTGTTGCCGCTTCCGCTATTCGCTGAACTCACGATTGGATCTGCCGCAGCCGCAGCCGCCGCTGCGCTGCTTGTCGCCGCTTGTGCGTTCAACGCCGCCTCCATGCCTGCTAACGTCGGCAAACCCAATCCGGCTAAATTGGCAAACAGCGAATTTGTTAGAGCCATATTGCCAAGATTGCCGAGGTTTCCGAGACCGCTGAGTGCACCCAGATTTGTTAAACCACCAAACGGCATCAGCAACGGATTGTTCTTCGGATCGAAGTTGCTAAGCGACAGTCCCGCCGACAACAAAGAATTGTTCAAGTTGCTAAGTGGGAAGTTGAGACCAGACGCCATCGAAGTAGCCACCAGATTAGCGGGATTAGTCGACTGCTGACTTGTGGGACTAGGCATCATAGGCGGTCTGCCCGGACTTTTACCTTTGTTCACACCACCACCACGCTCGTTACCTGGCAGTCTCTTTTGCAGATCGTGTGGGAGATTGCCGCGTTCCTTCACAAGTTCCGCCCACTTTGGATCTACATCAAACATCGGGTTTTCCAACAACCACTGTCCGAGTCGTTTCAGCTGCGGCGCTTTACTTCCTGTTACCTGAAAGAAAAAACGAGGAAACATTTTATTGTGGTAATTGATTAGCGTTAAAAAAAAAAAAGAGATTAAAGTTAGCAGATTTAAATTAACATACCTTCTTGCCAGTTAATCGATTGATAACGGCGACATTTTCCTCGCCAGTAAGTTTCTTCCAATCCAATAAGGACGGATCGACACGTGGTCTTCGTCGTCGAGGAGCGTTCAGATATTCTGCGCTCAATTGTTCCGACATGGCGCTCTGTTCCGCCAGCCATTTGTTCACCTTCGCCTCGTGCGAGTACGAGCCAATCTTGGACGAGTACTCGGCGACTTTGTTAATGTCCGCGATCATCGCCTCGTAACTCTTTCGATGACTACTGCTCGAGGAAGACGAATGCGCCGAATTAAATGTTTGCTGCTGCTGCTGCTGCTGCTGTTGTTGCTGCTGCTGCTGTTGTTGTTGTTGCTGCTGCTGCTGCTGTTGATGCTGCTGTTGTTGCTGCTGCTGTTGCTTTTTCAACTCTCGATTCTGCTGTTCAGCTTGAGCCAGCAAAGCGGAGAATGTGTCTTTGTGCGAATGTAACGACGGCGGCGGTAAAACAGGTGTGGAGGAACTCGAAGCTCGAGAGGATGGAATCGAAGTAACAGTAATGGAGAACGGCTTTTGAGTACTCGTTGGTGGATTGGGAAGTCCAATTGGTGCTGACGTCGGAGTCACGGTCACATTAGGCGTGATCGTGTTTTTCTTGCTGTGATCGGGATAATGACCACTTTGTTGCTCTTTCGCGGCGCTCAGACCCAGTACTATTTCGTCTAGCTTCCTACGTTTTTTCTCTTTTCCAACTACCGGTTCTTCCGTTGACTGGAGAACGAATTAGACATTTAAGATATTTGAATGTAAGAGTGCAAAATTAGTAGAATTGAAAAAAGCAAAAAAATGTTAAAACACCACTTACGCAAGATTTCCTTTTCATGAGCTTATCCAACATACTATCCAACTTTCCTTTGTTGCTACTGATTTGCTTATTCTTATTCGGCATAGAAAAGTCTTGCACCTCGTTCATAATGTCCTTATTATTATCGGAATTTGTCTTTGGATATCTACAAAAGATTGGCGTAATAATTATGAATCAATAAAATAAAAAAAAATGGAAAAACAACTTGGCCCCAAAAATAAATTTGTTCAATAGGTAAATACATTGCATAAATGTTACGTAATGCGCGACATTTCTATTGTTTGAGGTTTCATAAAAAAGCGACAATCGTAGCTTTCTGAATTTTTGTGGAAAAAAAAACTTCAGATCTAAACGCGTTATTGTAAATAAATAAATGTCTTACCCGGCCGATAAATCGATGGGTGTCAAAGTGCTCGATGTCCCGGGTATGACAGTTGTTTTTCCCGGAACGGTGTACTTTAGATCGAAAGGTATAGTCGGTGTTCGTGCTTGCTGATGCGCAGGAGGCGGTTGCACCGGCGTGGAACGTCGCGATTCTTCGGACTGGGATTCATCATTGATTTCTCCACCCCACAGGGAGATCGGTTTGTTGAGAGGCGCGGGTGACGATGTACTCATATGGCTGCTGTTAAGAAGCGCGTGAAGCTTGGCTGCGAAACAAATAATAACATAATAAAATGTAAATCCCCCCCTGAAACGCGTAACGCACGCGCACACGCACACGCACACACAAACGAATCTAAATCATCGCGCTTTATTAAAAATACCTCGTTCAGTCTCTACATCAATAGCGATGTGTCTCTTGCGTTTCTTCGAGGGAGAAATGTTGTTTCCGCTCGCCACAGATCTAGACACTCCGTGATCCGTGGTGATCGTTATTACTTCTGAGCAGTCTTTTTCATTCTGCGACACATCCAACTCCTCGCCAGCGCTAAAGTTTACCGATACCGGCCATTCCTTGTGTTCTATCGCGTGCACAATGTGCATCAAACGTGCTTCGATTGCGTGTTCCTGAAAAACGAAATTAATAATACATATTTAGCGTACAATAAAATACTCAACGTATTTAACGCAAAAAAAAAAAAATTAAAATATTCTTTCTTTGTTCATTTCCAGTGAGATATTTGAATATTTCATATATTTTTTTTTGTTTATTCTAAAATAAATATATAAAAAAACAAATTTACCTTCGGCCACTTTATTGGCGTATTGCTATAACCATGTGCCAGAAGTTGCACCACTGTAGGCTCGTTACCATAATCTGTCGATTTATCTCGCAAGACAAATGTGTCAATTTGAGTTAATCGAGACAAAGGTTGTATTACTTCTAAATCCGGAAACATCGCTTTTAATTCCGCAGCTTGAACGCTGCACTTGTCCTCGATCGGAGTAATCTTGGTCTTCTCTTTAACATCTGAGTTCTTTGCTTCCTGTACTTCGACCTCTTCTTTAGTTGGCGCAGTATCTGGCTTCGCGCTTTTGTTATCGTTCTCCAATTCGATACCTTCGGTGCTCTTCTCAACATTTTCGGCCGTGTCTTTCACATTCGTATCACTTTTCTCGACCGATTCTATCGCACTATTTTGCACTTGTGACTCGTTCGATTTTTCGACGGATGTGGTCTCTTTGTTTTCCTTATTTTGAATTTTGTCCTCCTTTTCAATTTCCACAACGGACGTACTTTCCGCACTCTCCGAATTAGCTTCTTTATCGTGTTTCTCATCAGTCGATTTGACGGTGTTGATCTGATCGGCACTGTCGCATTTAACCGGCTCTATCGCTAGTTCGTTTTTCTCTTCGCTTTTCGAAACACCATTTTCCGCGTCTGACGTTTTCGCGATTGTGGTGATGGTCAACGAACTACCGACAGATTTGTCCTCGGGTTTGACTTCCGCTTTGACAATAGTTAATTCCACCTGACTCTTTTCCGACTCCTCGGATTTCTTCTCGACAATATTTTGATCTTTCTTCGCTCCGACCTTTTCGATTTTTAACGTTCCTTCACCCTTTTCCAGTTTTACCAATATCTCGTCCTTGTCAAACTTCAAAATATCCTCTCTATTCTCAATCTTTATTGCTTTTTCCGTCTTCTCCATTGCCTTGGGAGTCTGAGTGCTCGCGTAAATTCCTCTCGTGAGAAGCTTATGAAATGATAAGTCTGGATCGTTTAATATAGTTATGTCGGTACGTCCGAGACCGTGTTTCGCAGCGCCAAGTAACAATTCTTTGTCGTGTTTTCCTAACTGCCACCAATCCGGCGTATCTCCCGACGGCTGACACAGTAACAGCCGTTCCTCAAGATGCGGATGCGACAGGATCTCTTCGCGAATCTTACTCAGGAGATCGACGCGATCGAGTATCTGTCTCGCTTTGGCAGGACTCAACTGATCCACTGGAACATCTGTAAAATCTGTAAACGTCAACGTAGTGAAACTTACAAAATTAAGTATAACATGCTGTGCGTATATTCAATTATATTAAAAGAAAAATACAATCAAATATATTCACACATTCAAATTTTTATGTTGAAAAATACACACCTTCTTCTTCGTTTAGTTTTGCATTACAGACTTTTTTGCACATCGCTCTAAACGACATGTAGTAATCCGTAAGATCGTTATCCGTTTTTTTATCAAATCTGGCAATACTTTTGAACTTTGTCCAATCGTATTGAGCTTTCTTTCTGTCGTAATTGACGCCGTACGTGGACACAACTCGCAAAAACTCGCTCTCTTCGCGACGCGTCCACTTTGCTCTTTGCTCCTCGATACGACGTTCTCTTTCCTTCACGACAGCCTCCATTTTCTCTCTCTTTTCCATTTTCTGTAAACAAAATTAAACAATTTAAATAGTTCGGAATTAGATTCGCATTAAAAAAAAAAAAAAAAATGTAAGTAGATATTATATACACGGACCAGTAGGTACATCGCTAACTGCTGTAAATCCCATCCTTGCATATTCAAGGGCGGTTCGTGCATCATGCCACTATGATTTATGGAAGGAGCGTTTTCGCTTTCCATTCCCATCTTGCCAGTTTTTGGAATAATTTTAACGTCCTCCTTCTTACCAACGCTTCGTTGATAAGAGGATATCACACGACGCAATCGTGTATTGAGATCGACCACGGACGGCCACATCTTCTCGTCATCCGGAAGACCGTCATTTTCATGACTACCGCTGGTCTCCGGCACCGGCGTGTCCGCTTTACTCGATATGGTGGGAGAATCCGCCGGGGTTTCTCGACTGAATTTGTCAGAATCTTTCGAATCTTTCGTCATTCCGGGCGATTCCCCGTCATCCTCGTTCTCCAAACTATTATCATCTCTGCTGCTACTGCTGAAAGATTTGTAATTACGGTAAGTAGTAACGAAATACAAAAGTAATTTCGAGCGGCACAAAATTCTTTTCCGAAGAAACCAATAAAACATTCTTTCAACGGTGTCTACGTTTACAAAGAAAAAGTGTTTAAATACGTAATAATACAAATATCGATTCTTTACAGAGAGGAAGAGAACTATAGAAAACAAATATCATCTATTGTGTGATTCAACTTATCATTTTCTTTCTTGGTACATTTCGTAACGTTAATTATATATATAAATAGAAAAGCAGCATCTCAGAGCGTTAGGATTTATTTTAATGCGTGCAGCTTTTTCATGTATATGTTATATACATATAAAAATATTTCCAACAGAACAGAGTAAAGTTGTAAAAGATGTAAAAGAACAAGTTCTGATATTCAGAACGACACTATTTTACAGTCCGTAAACAAAAAAAAAACAAAGATTTCCTCTCTTCATACTTCTTACAGACATATGCTACCAGTATTTGTACAATAAGATTGAGACTTTTTTTTTTTTTTGTCGATAAGTTTGGAACGGATCTCGCGAAACAATCAGCCCACCGCTCGGATGGGCTGAGCGTTTCGCGAGTTTACAAATCCATTTCAAAGTTTCGTCAGAAAAAAAAAACAAACAAACTTTTTACTTCTCAATTATTCTGATATCGAAATCATTTCGGCGAGAGATATCAGAAGACATGAAAGAGCACAAGGGGAATAAATAAATATTATATGCTATTCTACTGAAGATAAAAGCTATATGATCGCTATAAGCGTAATATGTATATATGGAAAGCGTTTGCAAGCGGCGTACGTGTTAGAACAATTAGATGGCGCATAAAAAATAAAAAAAAATAAACAAATAAAAAAAAAATAAACGAAAAAAAAGAGAAAAACCAGAAAAAAACAAGGAGATAAACAAATAACAAATATAAAGAAACAAAATTACTAAAGATACTCACTCGGTATTACTCTTGTTCTGAGAGTTCTGGAAAAGGAGAGGACAGCTTTGAATGAAAGAAAGCGTGGGGTCAGTCCTCATCTGGTCGTAATTCTCGTAGCCGTGTTTGTAGCAGCCGACTATTAAGGATTTATCAGCTGTAGAGTCCCACCATTTCGCCGGTCGTTCCGTCAACTGTGGAGGGTCTATCGGCAACGCACTGTAGGGCGGTTTCCGATTTACAAAATTTGCCAATTTATTTGCGTGCCGAGATTTGTGTGTTCATTAATAAATTTATAAAAAGAAATTTTACTTAATAAATTTTTTTTTTTTGTTTTTTTGTTTTTAATCTAAAGAGAGACAGAGAAGTTTCAAGGTCTCTCATCTCTTTCGTCGCAGTATTTTGTAATATATACGTGAGAAAGAGAGAAATAACGTATTATCTTATATATTTCGTATAAAAAATTTTCAAAGATACTCCGTGACACACACACAATAGATATGTGCGGACCGACTAGGGGATTTACACAACGTTTTTTTTTTTTTTTTTTTCAATTCTTTCCTATTTCTTCGATTACAGTGCACTGCTTACCGACAAAGTACCACACCTCTTACCGCTCTTTTGTTGTAGATCTGACCATCCTCGCGTTCGGTACGCAAGTGTGTCTTTTGTGGAATTTCGCGGGCGCGCGTTAGGTGTAAATATATATATATATATATATGTATATGCGTAACATAGGATGGGGGGACGATATTTCGTATTAGTAGCGCAAGAATAAAAATGAATTGATAGTCGTTTCACAGAGCTACGTAAATCAACTTAATTCGGCTCTATGAGCATTCCTCATAACAGGTACAGCTCCCAGTATATCAACAAATACATCGCACATGCAACTATACTAAGCTCCGTGGTAAGCACATGTGTGAGTATACACGAATTCGTGATAGATGGTAGTTTATGGTACGAAAAAGCGTGAGAACAAAAAAGTTACGCTAACTCACCTCACGTGAATACCGTCAGAGATGTGTTGTACCAAGTCACCGATAATCTCGTGTTTGATGTAATACAGCATTCGCACGCGCAACAACACTCTGTAAAAAAAAAATAAAAAATTACAACATTTAAACAGAGAATATTTATATAAATAGAATATTAATATAAATAGACTGTTATCTGTTCAAATTATAGAAAGAATTTTGATATAGTATAAACAAATTGAGAAATTTCTGGAATTTATATCAAAAGAGATAAAAAAAAAACATTTCTTTAATTTAAAAAAATCACTTTTTATAAAGAGTAGGTTGCAAAAAAAAGCAGAACTTAGGATACTGTTACATTTACTCTCAATTATAGATTGATTTATACGTACTTATTAGCGTGCCGACTGAGGTGCTTTCTGTAATTACTTTCGAGAAAGATGTCACCGTCGTACTTCTCCGCGTTACTCCAGTGATTAGGGTCGCTCGGTCCGCCGTTGACAACCGATCCTCGAGTTTCTCGTCCTTCTCGAACGCGACTTTTCTTCTTCTGCCTGCTGTTCCTGCTGCCGGTATTAACCGAGACATTTTTCACCTTCTCGCCGTTCTCCACGGGTGTGATAAGATCCCAGATGAAGTTGCGAATCTTCTCGTCGCCGCGATAATAACGCAAACAGTATAACAGAATAACGCGCGCGCAATCTTCAACATCGACCTCGCGCCAGCCACGTCGAAATTGACTGTTGTGCAAAATTTCCTCCCAGCGACCCCAGCCATACGTCAGAAGTCCACGTTCGACCTTGAAGCATTCGCTACGCGCCCAACTGCCATAAACCACTTCTCCTTCACGTGGAACGTATTCGTCGTAAAACTTTCTAGTTTTCTTGCCGAATTTGTCGCGTCGTTTCTTGCTTCTACCGGACAGGCCGATACTTGTGTCGTCGTCGCTGTTCTCGTCCGAGCTGTCTAGTTCGGACATGTCAACTACTGACTCGTCATGTCCGTAACGCTTGATCTGGGTTCTCCGCCGAGGTTCAGATATCACTAGTTCGTCTTCTTCTTTCTTCTCTGTCGTGTCGATTTCCGCCTTCTTCGCCCACTTCTTCCAGAAGTCGGGGTCATCTATGTTAATGTCCGATCGGTTTGACGAACACGCGAAACTAGCTTTCGAGAACGTCGAGCCCTTTTCCGCCTCTATTGTAATAACCTGAGTTCTTCGTTCGAGAATCTGATCGATATCTTCCTCGCAGAACTTGTCACCGGCATTGTCGTCGTCCATGATCGCGCCGTAAGCGCCTTTTTTCAACAAATCTTCTATCTCCTTCTTCGTTAACTGTTTATTGCTAGGATCTTTACCGCCTTGGCTGGTGTTCATAGACTGCAAGATAGCTTTGTCGAGACCTAATTTCAGAGAAGCCTTGTCAAACATCTCTCGCTCGTATGTGTTGCGACAGAGCAAACGATAAACTTTAACCATCTTCTGCTGTCCGATTCTATGGCAGCGAGCTTGGGCTTGCAAATCGTTTTGTGGATTCCAATCGCTATCGTAGATGATGACAGTATCGGCCGCGGTTAGATTGATACCGAGTCCGCCAGCTTTCGTGCAGAGCAAAAAGACAAATCTGTCCGAATCGGGTTTGCTGTAACGATCAATGGCGGCCTGTCGAACATTACCGCGAATCCGACCATCTATTCTCTCGTAAGGATATTTCTTGTACATAAGATAATCTTCAAGTAGATCGAGACACTTTACCATCTGACTGAATATCAAGACTCGATGACCATTAGCTTTTAGTTTCGGCAGTAACTTGTCTATCAGCACCATCTTGCCGGAACTGTTTACTAAAGCGTGAAAATATGCTTCGGAATCTTCCTTCTCGCCGGTCTTGTAATCCAACTGTATTTGATCCTCGGCGCCATTAAGCAAAAATGGATGAATGCAACACTTTCTCAGTTCCATCATCGTGTTCATAAGATTCGGAATATTGGCCGACGTTGTGCCCTTCGCGAGAAACGAGAAGTTTCTTTCAAGTATACCGCGATAATATTTTTTCTGAATGTTCGTCAGTTCCACCTCGACAACGGTTTCCTCTTTTGGCGCTAACGATTTTTCAACGTCCTCCTTCAGACGACGTAACATCATGGGCTTTAACAGAAGTTGAAGTTTCTGGACCTCACCCTCGCTACTTAGATTGCCAAATTCTTTCAAGAATGCCTCGTTACTTGAAAATTGTTGCGGTTCGAGGAAATTCAATAAAGAAAATAGTTCGTTCACGTTATTTTGTAACGGTGTTCCCGACAAGAGTACTCTGTGTTCCAAATTTAATTGTCTGAGACCTTCGAGGAGTTTGCAATTTCGATTTTTTAATCGATGAGCTTCGTCTATAACGCACAATCTCCAATTGTAACCACGGAGTTCGTTAAAATCGGTTATAATTATCTCGAACGTCGTAATTAATACATTGAATTTGATCAAATCTTTGATTTGCTGTCCTTTTTCATTCTTGTAATAAACCTCGTACTCTTGAAGCATCGTACGACTTGCCGCACTGTAAAATTTATATAAGGGTATCCGTGTTAAATTTATGTATCACATAAAAGTATACTTGTACCGGTGTATAAAGTAATTCAATATACTTACGATCCATGATACACGACGACATTCATGTCAGTCCAATTTTCAAATTCTCGTTGCCAATTTGGAATTGTCGATAAAGGAGCTATGATTAAGAAAGGACCGCGAATTCCGTACTTGTACACCGCATCGACAAATGTTAAGGACTGGATCGTCTTTCCCAAACCCATTTCGTCGGCGAGTATACAATTGTGTCCGTTATACCACGAAAACAGCAACCAGTTTAAACCTTCCAATTGATACGGTCTTAAAGTGTTGTCGTTTTTATATATCGGCGATTCTTCCAGCTTCACCCAAGCTGTGGCATTGGGTTTCTTTTTTGGCTGGAACAACAAAAAAATATTATCTCTCTCACATTAAAACAAAATAACTTTTTTTTTAAATCAATAAGTTTGGTGAAATATATGAACTGTATAAATTATAGAATACCTTCCACTGTTCCTTTGGTGGTAATTTATTGAATTTCACAAACTGCGCTATCTTTTCGGAATCAACATCTTCTTCTAATTCCCAAGTGGAATCTTCGTACTGTAAAGAACGCCATTTGACCAAATAATGTCTGACCGTTTCGCCAGTAGTCGGATCGGTGTGAATTGCTTCGTCCAAGACACGATCAACTTCGATAAAATCTGGGTTGAAGTGATCATCTTCGGTCTAAAAAAATAAATTATATATATTAAAAAAGCGTTACGCGCAATTGAAAATTTTAAACTTTCAATACCATGTAATATATATCAGAATTTTTAAATAATAAAAACTAAGTACATTTTCAAAAATGTTGGTGTTTTGTTGCTGTTTCTGTTTGAATCTCTTCAGTTTAGCCTGTATACGTTTGTCTCCTTTGTATAATTCTTCCTCGGTTTTCCATTCACAATGCAAGTACGAGAAATTTCGATATTTGACATAATACTCTTCAACGTCGAGAAACTGCGGCTTTGCCTCGACAACGGCAGTCTCAGCTGCTTTAGAATCTGTGGATTCCTCTTGCTTCTTTGCGTTATCTTTTTTCGGACTGTCGGTTTCGCTCTTTTTCTCGTCTTCGGTCGTGTTTTCGCATTTAATTTCATTTTCTTCTGTTTCTGCGTTTTCCTTCTTCACGGGATTGTCAGACGCGTTTTCGTCATCAACCGGGTCTTCTTTGTCAGCGCTTTCACTCTTTTCCGATACTTCTACTTTCGGTACTACTACAGGTTTAACTTCTCTTCTTCCTACACGAGAACTTAAAATATGTTGCACAACCATCGAATCCTCATCGGTAGTATTCTATAAAAATAAAAAAGGACAGAAAAATAAAGTAAAGAATCATTATTGATCTTAAAACATGAAAGAAAAATACACATTCTATACAAAAGATACGTACAATATATACAAAGTTGGGTTTGTTAGGTCCGACTTCGCTACCTTCACCGCCTTCCTTTTTAGCAGTAACGGGCTTCGAAGTATTCGCACCTTCGACCTTCTTCGCTTGAGTTTCCTGTATAGGAACGTCATCGTCTGAGAATCGCAACATCACATCGTCCACGTACTTCTTGCGGTGAGTGTTTCTTGCAGAACGTCTTTTGTTCACATCATCACCAGCTTCTGGTGACGGCGGAGGCGTCGCTGCCAATTCCTCACCGTCAGAATCGGGCGCAATGCGACTCTTACGTTTTCTGCATAAAAATAACGATAAAGTTGGATGTTCCGTACGTACGTACGCGCGTGCATTTTAGATAGAAAATTGTTGTTACTTACTTGGAACTTCTGGACGATTTACCAGATTTTCCAGTGCTAGATCGTTTTCTCGCCGCGGGTTTCTTCTTACTAGTATTTTCGGCAATAGCTGCTTCCGAGCTTTCTTCCTTCTTTTCCTCTTCTGGAGCATCGTCTCCTGTTTTCTCCTTGCCTTCTTCTTTTACTTCGCTTAACAAAGGTTCAGTAGTCGAAGAATCAACCTGTTCTTGATCACCTTGTATAGAAGGTTCACAGACCTTTGTCTCAGAATCCTTAATAGCACTAGAATCCGAAACGGCAGTTTCTTCGTTCTCGCGTACTTCGTCATCAGCAGACTCAGATTGATTAGTTTTTCTATAAGAACAGCAGTGGTGAGTACAATATTTTGTTTTATTATCTAAATAGTTCATGTACACGTTATATACTCACTTTCTGTTACGCTTCGTAGAATCTTTGTCTTTATCCTTGTTCCTTTTTCTCGACACCTTTGGCGACTTCGGCTCTTTCGGCGGTTTTGGTTCTTTCTTAGGTTTCGGCTCTTTGGGTTCTTTCGGTTCCTTCGGTTTACGCGGCTTTCGAGGTGAACGTGACTTCCTACCTTTATTCCACTCCTCTTCTATATCGCCAGAAGATGGCTTTATATCTTCGGAATCTGCAACGCTATCTACTATATTGCTACTATCGCCTGGTGTGACTTTATTGTCAGACAAGGGTTGCTCAGGCTGTTGCTGAATGGCAGTACTAGGCGCGGATGCTTCTTTATCCGCTTTTTTTCGGCTTTTTTTCGCTCGTGGCATACCTTTGCTTCGACCACGTCCAGTGGTACTCGTTACCTGTTTAAAGAAATACAATATTTACCTGACTGAAAAATACAGTATTTAGAACAAGAGACATTTATAATCTTTCGATGGATTGATTAAAATGTCGCGAAAATTTGAAATAAAATTCGAAAACACAAAAAATCTTTATTATTTTATTACTTTGATCAACAAATTCGATCAAACTTCTTTTATTTGTACTAATAACCAAATAGATGAAACAAGATTCAATTGTTAATCAAATACATATTTTATTTACTAACTAAATATTAATCAAATTCTATCAAAAGAACAAGCAGCATGACAAAACACGTTTGCCATTTTCAAGTTTCAAGAAAATATATATATATATATATATTTTTTTAATTAAATTTGTTTTGTCTCTTTTTGATCTCATGTGTTATTGTCAAAGTAAAAAAAAAATTGTTTTATTATCATCTTATATTTTGTAATTTATTTAATAATATTGACTAAAGAAAACTAATGTTAAAGTTGAAACATTAAGAGATTATACGTATTGTTAATTGTTTATGTAATGAATAAAATACGTAATTGAAAATTCTCTTTTTTTTTGCTTGATTGAAGGCTTTTTTTTACTTTATGTTAGTTAATAGAATAGACTTAATAAGATTTAATCATCATCTTTATTATTTCCTTTAACAGAGAGTATGTAAACTGTAAAACTTTAATACTCTTGCGCTCTCTTTCTCTCTCATCATACTTTTTCATTACATCGTAAAAGTGAAAATTGTAAACCACTTACTATAATTATTAAATAGAACGTTGTTTACTTACTTGTGGACTATCGACTACAGCAGGAGCCGTGAACATGGGTGTTTGTAGTATACACTGCGCGCCACCATTACATTGATCGTTTGTCTCGTGTTGCTGCAATGCTTGCAGCTTCTCCTGTAAAGCGACTATCTTCTCTTGATTCTCTGGAGCTGGCGGCATACAATATAATTCCTGCAATTGCTGTTGAAGCGCAGCTCGCTCTTGATGATGCGTAAGCGGTGCACAGGACGTACCGAAGCCGCTCGCTGCAACTGGAGCTTGTGTAGGATTAGCCGGCATAGTGTACATATTCGGCATAGTGCCGGTGATCATCTCGCCTCCGGGATGATACTGTTATTCGAAAATAATAGAGATAAGACGTATTATTCGCGCAACATACTCTTTTATACATATGCACACATTTGTGAGTAATATTACTATTAATATATGAAATAGGATTTACATACAATACATATATTATACTTAAAAAACAATGTTATCGTATCATTAAAAAGTATTATATTGAATATTAATAATACCTGATGCGGTGCTTGTGGATTTGGCACGGGAACTGTAGCTTGATGCGGCGGCAGCACCATACCAGCGGTCTGGCTAACCGTAGATATTTGTTGAGCATTCAGGTGCGCAGACGAAACCTGAGCGTTTTGATTTTGCATCTGAGCTGCCGGATTCTGCATCGACGGTGCTTGCAGTTGCGCCGGCATTTGTTGAGGCGACAATAACGCAGTGCTCTGCGGCATCATACCGACTTGTTGCGATTGTATATGAGATGGCTGCGCCTGCGGAGAAGTGGTCGATTGCGCCTGCTGTGTAACACAACTCTGCTGAGCGGGTTGTGTCAACTGAGATTGTGATTGTCCCAGTTGAAGTTGTGGCGACTGTCCTATTTGCGGCGGTTGAGGTTGTTGAGCTTGTCCCACTTGCGGCTGTGGTTGTACCATTTGAGGCTGAGACACTGATGGAATTTGTTGAGTTGCTATTGGTTGTGCTTGATTCAGTACAGATGGTTGAGGTTGAGGAATTTGTGGCTGTTGAGTAGATGCAATCTGTTGAAGCTGAGATATTTGTTGCTGTGGATTTATCTGAGCTGGCTGCGGTTGACTCAATTGCGATTGTTGTGGTGACTGTAACTGCGGCTGAGGAGGAGGTATCGTTGTTTGAGATTGTGCTATTTGCGGTTGAGCCATATGAAGTGGCTGTACTGGTTGCTGCACCGATTGGTGCACCGGTTGCTGAGGAGAACAAGTTATAGGCTGTTGAGTCTGCGATTGTGGCTGTCCTACAGTGTGTTGTGAATGAGGCTGATGTATTTCTACACTTTGTTCCTGCGGTTTTGTTTCGCATATATTCTGATCTTCAATACTAGAAACAGGATTCTGAAATGGCGCGACAACAGTTTGTTGCTGTTGTAACGAGGCAGTTGCATTCGTGCATTCCATACTTCCGTTTGTGCTGGACACTGGAAGAGACTGCACAGTTTCGATTTGAGATATGCTTGTCGGTGTGGATACATTAGCTGCCACAGGTGTGTGATCTAACGGTAGATTACTCTGAGAATTATTTTGTGTCAAAGTATCCACTTGGAGTGGACCAAGTTGCACAGTCACATCCGGTTGCTGATTCTGAACATTCTGGTGTAGAGACGGCTCGGGTTCTTGCTGTTTTGGGGTTTCAACAGAAGCCTGCACAACATTTTCAGTCGTTGATGCCGTCGCAATCGTCGTCGTCGCCGTAGTCGTCGTGGTCGTTGTTGTTGTTGTTGTTGTCGTCGTTGTGGACGTCGTCATCGTCGTCGGTTCTCTCGTTGTCGTTGTGCTCGTTGTCGCAGTTTCTACAACACTGTGGACAGCGGTCTCAGACCCAGGAAATACTGGGGCACTTTGTTCGGATACTATCGGTGTCTGCTGGGTCTCCGCTACGCCACTTCGATCCTCATTCACTCCAATGCTCGGCCTTATTTGTGACTGTTGCTGCTGTTGTGATTGCGGATGTGCTTGCCACTGAGCGGGCATTGGCATTCTAGGTCCTGTGACTTGCGCCGGCATGGAACTCTGTGGTGATTGTTGCGGCAAAACGTTTGACGTTTGTGACATAGGCGGATGTGTTTGGAACTGATTGTATTGATCAGGAGCGGAGACACCGGAATTCGACACCGCAACACCCGGCATAACCATTTGTTCCAAAGCCTGTAAGGTCGTTTGTTGCTGCTGCTGCTGTTGCTGCTGCGACGACGGATTCATTTGCATAGATGTAGGCGGACACGAGGGCGACACCGACATAGGATTAGGCTGATTTCCTTGCTGATGAGGAAGCTGAACATGAGGATGTGGCGACAACGTGGTGGGTTTGGCAGGTGACATGATGGGTCGTGGCGACATTTGTTGTTGCACCGCCGGCGGACGCGGAGACATTTGCGGCCTCGGAGACATTTGTGGAGACAGTTGCGGAAACGGTGCGCGGTACTGAGGACTCGTCGAGTGCTTAGCGGTCGCTGTTGCCGTGTTAAACTGCTGCGACGGTGATGCTGAATGTTGCGGTTGATTGAACATTGATGTAGCGTGATGGGGATATTGAGGATCCATCGTTGGTTGCTGCTGTGCATTCGGATGTTGAGTAGTATGCTGAGGATACTGCTGAGGATGAGACGGATGCGGCTGATGAGTGGGATGAGTCGGGTGATGATGCGGCATTCTTGCCTGAGACGCTTGTTGCGCTTGTTGTTGTTGATGTATCGTCGGGGCGAAACCAGGATAGCCGGGAGAAGTTTGATACATCGCCGCGACCGAATTACCTTGTTGGTAGTGTTGCTGTTGGCTGACCATATGCTGATAGACACCACTAGTCGCGCCAGCCTGCATCGATTGATGCAAAACTCCCATATTACTAATCATTCCTTGTTGACTGCTGAAGTGTTGCTGCTGCTGCTGCTGCATTTTTTGATTGATTACACCAGCTTGGTCCTGCTGATGAGAATACTGTGGCGGCATATGTTGCCTATACGGCCCAGGCTGCGGAGTCATCTGATTATAATGCCTCTGCATTTGTGGATAACCACTTCCGTTACCTGGCCAGCCCTGCTGGCTGGGGTCTATACTCATATTGGCCCTTGCCATTGAGTGTTGCGGCTCCATAGAATACATATTGTCATTGTAGCTAGGATACTGACCACTGCTACCCGAATGGGGTCCTCTATGCTGCTGCGGCGCGATATTACGGGTCTGATTTTGAAAAGCGCCCGGCACCATTGCGCGCTGAGGCGTGGCGCTATTATCGAACGTGCCAAGATTTTGGTTAAACATACTGCGTTGCGACGGATTTTGTAACTGATTTGAACTACCAAATTCAGATCCGCCGAATGAAGTCAATTTTTGTATTGGAGATTCTTGGGAAATGTTGTAGGATCGGCTAATGTAACTCCCTCCTCCATTAGGGCCAGAATTCAGACCGTCCCTGGACACCGTTACGGAATTATTCGCAGGCGCAGGATCGAAATGATCGTTTCCTCCGAGATCAGGAAGAGCCTCGAGCATCGAGCCACTGACATCTTCACCAAACAGATCGTAGTCCATGTCTATGCTGAAGGACTCTTCGCCTCCATTTCAGCCTTGTGAGAATATTGTACAATCTCTTCTATAGCCAGTAACGTGCCCATGGTAAATTCAAGATCTCGCTGTCTGCAACAAGGAAAAATTTAAACTTCGAGTACTTTTTTTTTAACAATGTTTTCTGTGCAATGTAATGTATGAGAAATACTACCGACTCTCTTCGTCGAAATGATATACGCCAAAGGGGAAAAGCTATACGCTTATGGTTTTTAATTTCTCATAATCGCCATAACTTTTCCCCCTCGAAATATACCTCCAGCTTGCAATATCCGGACACACTTTTGTGTAGAAATTTTAGAGAGAATTATGTACATATACACACGCTCGCACATGTACATGTATTATATTTATTATATATGCTAAATATAAATCTTTATTGCACATGCTATAATAAGGAACATGCAGATACGTATGAATAATGATCAAACACATCAGTATTTTACAAACATATCAAAGAGCAGAAAAAATTATATCTAGACTAATAATAACATAAATGTGATCGTACAAAAAATTGAGGACAATCTATTGCATCACAATTGATGCGTAATAAGCGTTTTTCTACCTTTTAAACGAAACATTTCGTGATACAAATCTCTCACAACTTGAAAGATATAAAGTATTTTAAATCGATTGAGGGAAAGATTAAAGGAACTAATCGCAAACCGTGTGTGATTCTATTTTTACGCATTCTATATGCATATACATATATATATATATATATATGTATACACAAAATAAAAGACAGATAACATGTAATATAATTGCGAATAAATAAACTCTAAAATTTAACTTTTTCAAAGTAAAAAAACAAAGAAAAATAATAATCTTTTTTTATACGAACACAAATAAAACGACAGAGAAAACGCTAATTACACCGTACGTGACCGACATATTTTTGAAAACATTAACAAGCATCGTTAATTTTTTATTATAATTTGATTAGTTTTAATGACATACATATTTGTAACACATACGGTTATAATGAGTCTTTGATATATTTTTAATATGATGAAAATTTTCAGTGCACAAGTGTGCGTGTGTGTGTGTGTGTGCGCGAGCGTAAGACAATTTTTTAAACATTAATAAACGTGATAAAAGTTACTAAAGCTTTCGTGGTCAAACTTTTGTTGAAACACTACTTTTGTTAAAACAAACAAACGCAATATTTTCAGAATAAAAAATAAAAAAAAAAGAAAAATGAAAGAACATCGCTCGAGAGCGCCTATCTTTTGCTGAAAGTGTGACAAGTTCACTGGCAGGAACAATTCTGTACATCTTTGCGTGTGTAACAATATGGCATGTACCAGCTCAAATATAAACGCTATATGATGGAAAACATCGACGATGAAGCTGACAAAGATCGGCGCGGTATCGCCGATCGATATACAATGTCGAATAAAACAAAGAAGGAAGGAAAATGAAAAAAAATAGAGAGAGAGAGAGAGAGAGAGAACTATAAAACCAAAAAAAAAAAAAAAAAAAAAAAATTGGGGCAACGTACAAACCTGATACATACACACTGGCAAATATAGCGAGGCGCAGAAAGAGAGAAAAGGAAAAACGAGTAGAGAAGAGAGGAGAATGTTCTCGCGTCTTGGTAGAAAACGAACAAAAATACACTTACTCGATGTGTGCATGCGGGAGCGAGACGGCGAGAGTGAACGAACGAATGAACGGTCGAAACTGCATCGAACGAACGAACGAACGAACGAACGACGGTAAGAAAAAAAGAAAAGGAAGGCTTCTCTGTGCTTTCTCTCTTTCTCACCGCGCCAGTTCACGCTCGGGTGTATTTCATCGTCGCGTCTTTGGTACAGGCTCGCAAAGTGGGAAATCGCCGTAAGTCGTGGGGTTATGGCATACACTGAAATCGGCGACTACAAGTCTCTCACGCGAGCGTCGTTGGATCACTCACGCCAACACGGCGACGACGCGACGACGCGACACGACGATGACAACGAATGTGTGAGTGAGGTGAGTGAGTGAGTGAGAGAGAGAAAGAAAGAATGAGAAGAGAGAGAGAGAGAGGGGGGGGGAGAGAAGAAAAGGAGAGCGAGTGAGAAAAACCAACGGGGTCTGACGACTACGGAAAGTACGCCATTATTGCGAGAGAAAGAGAGCGAGAGAGAGAGACAGAGAGGAACAACGCGGGGGAGAGAAATTTCCGCTCAGGGCCACTATCGAGAGAATTTCATGTCGCGCTACCACGACGCGCTCGATATTCCGACATCGGGTGGCAGCCGCGTCACTCGCGTCGCAACCGTTTCTGCTCGCACAGCACACTCTTTTCAGCGGCGGTACTTTCTCGCGGTAAATCACCAATCAACTTGGGACTGCTAGCTAAAAACGGGTGGGCGGTTGGGATCGGTTCGGACTTTGTCGGAAATGTAATCCTCGCGCTGAACCGAAGACGCGCCGCCGCCACCGCCGCCGCACGCTTGGAGGTTCGTTCGTCGCAAACCAACTCCGTTTCGCGAACGCGTTCACGCGATTTTCACTCGGGGACGCGGGATCATAGAGGTGCAAGTGTGTCCATAGGTTCGAATCTCATTCCGTATATACATCTATATACACGTACCTCTTTTCTCACTCTCTCTTGTGCTCACTCTCACACACAAAACGATTTGCTCACTCGCTCTTCATCTTCATCTCTATCCCCCCTCCCTCCACTCACTATAGAAGAGACTACTCTTTGCTCCGTCTTTCGCTTACCCTGTTCTGTTCTGTACAAACACGGAGAAAGAAGCCAAGCACTAATACCACCGACCCGTGAGTAAAAACCGTACTCGTTCCTGAAAAACGTTATCGCCGGTGTGTTGCAGCCCGAGAGAGCGAGCACCTCTCGCGCGCAGGCAAATACACGCGCGGCGGGTAGCGGCAAGCCGCACACACCGCTCCCGCTCGACGCACCACCTGGTGGCGTGCACATCTCCCGGCCTTTTCTCCGGAGCGCTTCGTGTCGTGTTGCTGTGTCAGATGTGCGTTCGTGTCGTTTGTTCGTGCCGGCTTCCCCGGTATATGAACATGTGTGCGCGTACAAATATTGTGTACACACAGTCGAACGCGCTTAATGGTATATCCGCGAAGAACATTTCGTAAGAATCTATTCATCGATTCTCCTCGTTCTTTGCAAACAAAAAAAAACTTTTGGAGAGCAGTTGATATCCCGTATTGCGATTGTAATTAAAAACGAAAAAAAAAAAAAAAAAAAAAAAAAAGATCGATTGTATCGTTCAACAGAGAGTTCGATCAAGTAAGTTCATGAAAAACGTGTAAGAGGACGCGTTATTATAAAATTTCACGCTCAACTGTACACACAAAAATTATCGTTGGAAGATGCGTGTCGGCCAAAGAAAAGCGTAACGTTTGTTACGATTGTTCATTTTTTTTGTTTTCTTATCTACCCTCCGTAGTTTCGGTACTCAAGATGACGGACAGTTGCGTAAATTTTGGCGCGAGAGAAACAATAATACATCTATCTAGCAATTTTTTGGTTTTTTAGGTATGCATTGTGCGCGTTGCGTTTCGACGCACTTTTACAAATTCAAAAGAGAAATAGGTATCTCTCTATCTTCACAAAACAAAAAAGAAAAATACAATGACCTCGAAAGAAAAATACAAAGAGAAAACAGTGCGTAAAAATTGTGTAGAAGGTCTCGTATTTCCGTTAGGTACAGCGCTACACATTTTGTCTCATCTTGTGTCGTCTTTTCAACTTTTATTCTCGGAGCGGACACATTTATCATATATTGATATCAAGCTGAAAAATATCTTTTCGGATCCATTGTTCAACCCTCGTTTATTTGAATTAGTACATGCATCTGAGCAAACAGACCCTGATCGTTTTCCAAATTCCAAAGCTTATCGGAAAAGTATCTCATTATCTTTCTAATCGTGATTGTGCGCATGTACATACTTGGTGTGAGTGTAGGTACAGGTAAAAAAAAAAAAAAAAAAAAAAACCACGTTTTTCTCATGTATCAGATTGCATTCTGTCTAAACGAGTAGAGCGAATCGTTTCTTCAAAATTATCCTAAATTTTGCGCGGATTCGCTTAAAATTCGCTAACTAGATTTCCTAGGCGTGTTGTATCGTGTAAAACATAAATATCGTATTATTATAAAAAATTAAAAAAAGCTAAGCTAACACGTATGTACATATGTAACGTACGTGATGTAAAAATGTATTAATTTTACAACAAAAACCGTGTAATTTTACTGATATGAACTTCACACATTGCCAATGTTATAAGAACAACAAAGTTCCACGATGATGATGTATAAACAATTTGAGCTAATAATCAATAGAATGTGCGAGAAGTTTCATCTAAAAATGTGCCACGTTGCTCGTGAAGAAAAAAATGTATAAAGAGAAATAAAATGAGGCTTTACACAAAGTATTCAAACTCGCTTCCCGACGGACAAATTTACAGACAAGCGTGACGAGCGAGTGTGTGTATGTGTGTGTACGTGTGTATGTATGAGAGAGCGCGCGCGCGCGCGCGCGCATGTAGTCGTGTGAATTTAGTGAAAGGATAGGCAATAACGGTACAAGCGAGAACGAAAGAGAAAGAAAAAGACGAGCGAAGCTACAGACGAATCACACTGGCAAACGCATCGAGTATTCAATATCGTGGTAAAAGACGCACTCCGAGCAATTGGCGGCGGTAAGAAAGGAGTCGAAATTATAAAACGGGAAAAGAAGACCCCAATCAGGTTTTTAACGTGTGCAAACCCGGCGCGTATGCGGTATTTTAATTAACGAATCGTATTCGACAGTCGTATCGATTCGAGTACGTATTTCGCTCAAATGGCAGCCCAAATATGACGTCGAAAAAAAAAAATAAAAAAAAAAAAAAACAATTGAAATTGATTTTAAATTCTTCCACGCGCGAGGATCTCAAATTGGAAATTTCGCTCGTGTTTCGCCGTAGATGTAAATCTCAATTATAATCGATGTATCTTTGAATACAATAGACACTTCCGGCGATGACTAGGTTTTACTATTTAAATTTCTTATTCTGTCTTAAATATAAAACTGTTTAGTCGCACTTTTTAAGTTATAAATTCAACACATCTAAATTATAGATTAGTTATAGATTCATCTAAAACATAAAAGTGTTTGCCGATAACATACGCACATGTTTTATCACACAGTTGATTTTTTTAGAAATTGCACGTAACTTTTCACACATCTATATTACAAGACTCGCAAATTGTGAGAGATTTTCTATAAAATGTTGGAAAGAAATGTATATTGCAGCGCATTAAAACTTTTATATGTAAAAACGTGACGAAATAAAAAAATTCACGAAGGAAAGCCAATGTTTCTTGAATCAGAGTTGTTGCAACAATCGTGCGCATCTGTCTGAGAAGACCGTCAGGTGATAATATTATTTCTATTTTGCGCAAAATCTTGTGCGTGATTTGGTAACGCAACAAATAACTCCGATAATCCAGATGTTCTTCAAAAATTATTCTAAATAGTCACAAAAATTCACCGCAATAAAAAATCACAACGGAGAAATTGTCATAAATGTCATTAATAAAAATAATAAAAAGTGATGTAAATCACATGTGGGATAACGACTTTTAGAACCACACCAGGTAATAGAAACAATTTCAAACACACACACGCCGAGAGGAGGTAAGTCCGTGCTCTTCTTAGCTTCGCTGTGCACTATTATTGCACTTAGTGCACTTACAACATAAAATGCATGCGTATATTTTCTAGAGAAAGACGGAGAGAAATCATCAAAGGTGCCGAAGTACAGAATATCTAAACGTTTATAACGAACACGATCGATCTGGTGCATTGCGTGTACAAAACCTGACACTCAAAAAAAAAAAAAAAATAAATCGACAATTTATAATTTATCTCTCGTATATGTAATAACTGACTGAGAAGAGAGATGAAGGACTTACAGCTGTACGAACGGCGATCCCATCCTTTCTGAAGTGCCATCTAAAGAAAACACAAAATTCAGGAAAAGTCTGAGGGGAAAAAGTTACAGAGAGGAAGAGGTACGGAAAACGAGGGAGAGACTACTACACGAGTGTTCGTTCAATCGTTATCTCGGTGTCCATTTTGTTTGGTTTAATTACTGAAGAGGCGTCGGTGGTAGTGGTGGTGGCGACGGTGGTGGTGGTGATGGTGCTGCTGCTGCTGCTGCTGCTGCTAATGTTGCTGCTGCTGCTGCTGCTGCTGCCGTGGATTACGTTGACACAACACGGTACAACGTGCTGCTGTTGCTGCTGATGATGGATGATGATGATGATGATAATGATAATAATAATATTTATAACAACGATGAGACGACGATAGTCCTTCAATTTTATTAGTTATCGCTATCTCCACGTAATTTCGAGACACATTAAAAAAACGATTACGCACGCACAGGAAAATCACATATAAAGAGAAACAGCGAGAACGAGATTCAAACGCACATCGTGCGAATTGAAGCACGAGTAATTTACGTGTGTGTCACAAAAGCGTGCTTTTTATATTAACAGACACAGACTCACGGAAACAACACACACCTTTTTCGTACACTATTTCGTGTGTGAGCGAGGTTCGTTCACCGCACAAGTAACCTAAATCTCCGTGCAAAGACCACGAGACGAGATTCTCACAGCACCTTGTGTGTACGGTTTTCACAGAGTCGATCTCTCGCGTGCGCTCGCGTATAGATGAATGTAACATACGTCATGTACCGAACAACGTCACTAAAAAAACTCTCACGCGCTTTCCATCCGTTCACATCTTCCTTGCGTTCACGTGCCGTGCCGTGTGTCTCGACAACACGGTATATACAACGAATCCTTTACTGCCCACAGTCGTCGACGTCGTCGTCGTCGCCGCTGCTGCTGCCGCTAACGCCGCTGATCGACGCTGATTTTGCTGGCTCAAGTAGTAAAAAATGGCGTGGAGATTACTTACGCTCCGGTCCGTTTTGCAGCCCGAACTTCACGCGCATCGCCAATGGCTACTCGTCGTTCATTCGCCCCCCTACGATTGGTCTTTGCAATAAAATTTAGAAAAACACTCGTTTCTAACACTGGCATCACTCCTGATTCGCACAACAAATTTTGAAATCTTTTTTGAAGAAAAATTTAAGGAGAGTTTATCATATTTTATGTTTCAAGTAAAATAAACATGCATATTGAAAAGAGAGAGAGAGGGAGAGAGAGAGAGAGAGAAAGAGAGAGAGAGGAAGAGAATAAATATCAAACATAGCAGGAAAGAAATAAAAAAAAACATGTAATTAATATTTACTAAAACACTACACAACATTAAATACCGTTCTAGTATAATGTAATTTCCGTTTAAATATTTAATATAAAAAAAACATGCAAGAGTGAAAATTAAAAATGTATTATCTTCTAAGAGGAGTAACATATATTTGTACATTATATCTTATTTAATATATATTTTTTTTTATAATTTAATATATTTTTACATACATATGAGTGCGAGCTCGCGCACAACCATTCAGAATAAAGTATAAGTTAGGGTATATATATTTAAAAAAGATTTTATTTTTTATAATTTAACTAATGTATATAATTTTACAGTTTTTAAAAGTTTCAGTTTTTGTTGCATGTTGTTACACAGCAATATCAATCTAAATTTATATATATATATATATATATATTACTTTGATCAATACATTATGAATTATACAGTACAAATTTCTATCACATTTTAGTCCCACAGTTTTTATATTTCGATTTCAAATGAAGTTTAATTAAATTTTTTTAAGCTATTTAAAATTTGAAGTTTTTTTTACAATAAAAATCGTATTACTATTATCGTACATTAGAATTTCACTATATAAATTACAGTTACTCTATGTTATATCAATCTGTTTTCCATATTTTGCGTTATTCTTTTAATAGCAATATGTGGGTATTCCTGTCGCCATAGTTTGATCTGCGAGTCGCTAATGTAGTCACAAAAACTGAGATCAAGCAATTCTAATTTAGGGCAATTCAACAAAATTCCAAAACATATTTCGGGTGTAAGAGATAGCGCGCCTAACAGATCCAACTGTTTTAAGTGTTTGCACAACGCCAGCTCCTTCAAATCGCGATCTGTGAGTCCTTGAAAAGATGCGAGGAAGACCTTTTCCAAACGCTGACAGGAAGAAAACAGCTTGTGGAGTCTCGAGCCATAACCAGTTCTATTGCTGCAAAAATAAACATATTGGTCATTAGTACTTTAAATCGCGTAAAAAAGTTTAGTTTTTTTGTAAAAATTATGAAAGAGAAACAATCTTGAATACGTTATACTTTAATATCTGAGAAAGATTACAAGAAAGAGTGTGTAATGCATACCACCAACTGAAATCCACTTCTCGTAGATTTTTACAATTGGAAAGAGCATCGATACCTTGCCACGTAAGAGTCATCGCTTTCCAAAAATCTACACTTTCCAAGTCCGGACACGAAGTTCCCAATTCAACTGCGACTTCGTCCGCATTAAAATGTTTGCGCATGCCTGCTATACTTAAATGACGCATATGCGGATTATTTTTCAATATTTTACATAAAGTTGGAGTTTCTATGGATGTTCTGTACAGATCTAAACGTTCGAGGAACTCAAGTTTGTGCAAACACGAGAAGCCTGCACCCGTTATGTTCTGACAATTACGCAAGCTCAGTTCTAAAAATAAAAACGGATACTTTTTATTATAGATTTTATTATGAGATATATATGTATATATGTATATATAAATACAAATTATTTATATAAATGTATTTATGTACCTTTCAAGTTTTTACATGTTCTTGATATTTCATGAACGACAGAGTTATCAACTGTTTCGCAGCAATTTAATCGTAAGTGCGTTAAAAGACTGCCGCAAACTTTGAGAAAATTTCTGATGTGCACAGTGGAAAACATGTCGTGATTGCCACACCACGAGAGATCCAACTGTCGCAAATATTTACATCTGGATGCCAAACAGTTTAATGCACGTGCATCAAAAGAATTCCAATACGGTTTTAAATTCAAACATGTATAGAGTAGAGCGTCCCGTGCCAAGTTATTAAAATGCTTGTTGACTCTGCACAAGCAATACAACGATTTCAAGTCCAAGTTTTTAAAAATTTTCAATATTGTTTCGTCCTGTAAGAATAAAATTTATAAAATTTTTTGGAGAAAAGGAGAAAGAAAAATTTATCTCTTAAATTTTTTTACAGGAAGCATGGAAAAACTATCACATGGTGGCTCTTTAGACTCATCCGAAGAATCTTGAATATTCTTCATAAATCTTGAAAAATCTTCCAGCAAAAATTGTTGCATACTATTACATCCTTCTCTAAAGGGCGGCACACAGTGATAAAGTTGCTCCAATACCAACTTAGATATCAGCTTGCTCTCGCGATAATTCTGTATCTTACTGCAACATTGATGCAGATATTTCTTATCAGTTTATTGTTGTGTAAATCAACAAGCTTGATGTTCACAACATCATACCTTGTGACCTTGATACAACCATGTAACATTCTCTTAAGATTGATTAAATCTTGTTTTGCACTTTTATAATCTGGTGTCAAATTATGAACATCTTCATTGAAAGTTTCTTCAGGATAAACATAATTCATTCTTTGTAAATATAACAAATCAGTTAAACTCTGTTCATGAGATTCATTTTTGACAAGAATCAATTCTGTTGTACCGATAAGCAACGCAGCATCCAGTTCGGTGTAATAGTCCAACTGGCTGTGATTGAACTCCAATCTTAACATTTTGGTTTTAAAGTTACATGATTTTAAAGGTGGTGAGAATATCCGTGGTTTTTGAGAAACAATTTGAGGTGGCCCACTCCACAACTGAAACCACTGGTCATGAAAATCTTGTGCCCAAATTCTAATCACACTTCCAGGATTATATATTTCATATATTGAGACTCTGATTGGATACACTGCTTCAGCATACTCAATATCTTTAAAAAACATAAAATAGTTGATTGGAATTTTTTAAATAAGCTTCTTGTTTCTGTCTCTGTATTTTTTATATATTCTATGCAAGATATATACCAAGATACATACCAATATAATCATGGCTCACAACATTCAGATTATTCTGTGGCATATAATCAATTGATCTTGAAGGTGATTTATCCCACCATACTCCATATGTTCTCTATAGTAAATAATAATTCAGTAAATAGTAAATAGTAAATCTAGCAAATCTTAGACATTCCGTATCTTATAATAGGATCATAATAATAAGCATGAATTATAATAAGATCAAAATAATTCTAGGAAAGAAGAATAGAATACAAAAACAGTAAATAAAAAAGACACAAAATATACCATGACAAATGCTTGAGGAAAATCTCCATATTCTGGAAACTTGCTGGGTGGTCCAGTGATATTGTGAGCAGTATAAGATATACTAATATTGTTTCCATATTGAGAACTGAAGTCATAAACATCCTTGACAAATTGTTCAATAAATGTGGCATGATAATCTTTTCCTATGGACACTCTTTCTACTTTGCCATTATGTTGATGATGATAATGTTGAGATGTCATGTCATTTGAAGGATAAGTTAAAGAGAACATATCAACAGAATATTTAATTTGCATTCCATTTATTATCTATAATTATTTTTAGATCAGATTTACTCGGTCTCAAAATATCGATAAATCTATGCTCATTTAATGCGATTGTAAAAACGAACACCTCTGGCAGAAAAAATTATCGGTCTTCGCGAAGCGAGTTATCTAACGTTAAAGTTGATAACTATTCAGGTTAGAAAACCTGTCATTCCGACAGATTGACGACGATTTTGAGAAGAAAATGGAAAGAGCAGTGACATTATCGATACACGACAAGCAATTGCTACAGTTAGTTGATGTTGCGTACCGCTAGGGAAGCCGCTTCTCTTGCGGTCCATCATTCACTAACATTACTAAAAATCTATACTTCACGTCACGTATGCTGTAGATTTCTAATACTGACTAAGTGAATATCGGAACGCAAACGAGCACATGTACATGATACAACATAACCTGTGTTTACAGAGTAATTGAATCATGTGTGTTGTTGTTTAAATAAAAAATTCCAGATAAAATACATACTTTCTTATTAATTTATTTAAGAGATGAATAAAAAAAGGAAATTTGACGAAGAGAGTGACGCCGCTCCGGCGGACATTGAGGTGAAGAGAGTTTTGTCTCGTTTTAAATCGGATACTGGCGAAGTTCTACCTGGTGGATTGTTAGACTTGCCAGTCAATGTTACCGTGGACAAACTGCAAGCAATTTGTAATGCTCTACTGCGACACGAAGAAGTTCTACCTTTAGCATTCTATGTGAATAACGTAGAAGTTACAGATGTCTTAGAGGAATGTCTCAGTAAAGACTTTAATGTTAGTGAAGATGTTGTCGAAATTGTGTATCAACTGCAAGCAGTGTTTAAAGTTAGAGCTGTCACAAGATGTACTGCATCTTTAGAAGGTTACTAACAGAGTTTTTTATTTTATACTGATACATACAAAAAATATAGAGATGTACAGACCTAATATTGAAGCCAGAGATGTTGGATAAAACATGTTTATTCAGACACATGTATCTTTGCTGATATATCTTATGTTATGTACATTTATATATCTCATAAATTTGTAAAATCTTTAACATTTTATACTTTATTTCAGAAAATGATGACATAGATGTTAAACAACACAAAGTACACAAAAACTATATTGCAGAAGGAAATTTATAATAAACTCTTTATACTTTTATAGGACACAAAGAAGCTGTTATATCAGTTGCATTTTCACCTGATGGTAAACATTTGGCTAGTGGTTCTGGAGACACAACAGTAAGATTGTGGGACATCTATACACAGACACCACATTATGTATGCAAAGGTCACAGACATTGGGTCTTGTGTATCTCATGGTCACCTTGTGGTACTAAGCTTGCTTCTGCGTGTAAAAATGGATCCATTTATTTATGGAATCCCAATACTGGTGAACAAATAGGTAGAGATTTCAAATTAATGAATAGAAGTGTTTACATATAGAAAAAAAAAAAATTAGATTTAGAAATTACAGTTTAATTCGTGTGAACTTTTTGTGCTAATTTGTTTTACACACAGGAAAAGCTTTGACCGGACATAAAATGTGGGTGACATCTCTGTGCTGGGAACCTTATCACAGAAATCCAGAATGCCAATACTTAGCAAGTTCGTCAAAAGATTGCGATATCCGAATTTGGGACACAAAGAGGGCACAGACTTGTCGCATTTTATCCGGTCATACGAAAAGTGTGACCTGTGTTAAATATGGTGGAAGTGGTCTCATTTACTCTGCTTCTCAAGACAGAACTATCAAAGTGTGGAGAGCTGAGGATGTATGTTAACTGATGAAATATTTTACTTACAATTTAGTTGAAATTATTTGCCTTTTCTTTTTTAGTGATAATATAATTTACATAGTTTTTGATTTTATCTCGTTTCGTTAATTACAGGGTGTATTATGTAGGACTTTGGAAGGTCATGCTCATTGGGTGAACACTTTGGCTTTGAATGTCGATTACGTGCTCAGGACCGGTCCTTTTCAATTAGAATTATCTGCAAATACAACGGATTCTCCAATAGAGTGTGCGAGAAAACGATACGAAGCTATAGGTGAAGAAAAACTCGTGTCTGGATCCGATGATTTCACGTTGTTCTTGTGGAAACCAGAAAAAGAAAAGAAACCCATAGGTATGTGTTGTGTAATCTTGAAATATATAATGACAGAATTATATATACCAGAAAGAGAGAGAACTAACACAATGCAAACGTATAACGCGCAATTTTTCTAGCAAGAATGACCGGTCATCAGCAACTTATCAATGACGTTAAGTTTTCACCTGATGGTCGTATAATCGCATCCGCATCTTTCGACAAATCGATCAAGTTGTGGTCTAATACTGGAACTTATATTGCCTCTTTGAGAGGTCACGTTCAAGCGGTCTATTCGGTGGCATGGAGCGCCGATTCTCGTCTTTTAGTGAGCGGCAGCGCGGATTCCACCTTAAAGGGTAAATACAATATTGGGCACAGAAAAACAAATCTTACAGTCAAAAAGTAAATAATAGTAATATTTGTTTTACAGTGTGGTGTATGAAGACCAAAAAATTAAATCAAGATCTACCGGGACACGCAGATGAAGTTTATGCTGTCGATTGGTCACCCGATGGTCTCCGAGTTGGTTCAGGCGGAAAAGACAAAGTTCTTCGTCTTTGGCAAAATTGAATTTTAACACAAATTAAAGTCATTAAAAAAAAAAACCTGTTCAAATATTTTCTTTTTTTCTTAAATAGACCTTTATTCTTGAGTCCCTTTTCAAGTGAGCGAAGTTCTAAATACATCGAGAGTCATAATTTATTTTAAAAGAATTATATATATATATATAAGAATTTTTATTTACTTGTTTAATAGAATCGCAGAGAAAGCTACAAAAGATAGCTATTTATAAAAGTTATTAATGTACGAAAAATGACAAAATATTTATAATCAATTTAAATCAGATGACATGTATACATTTTACAGCAGACCTTGTCTCTTAAGATCTTCATATGTTTTGCGATTAACCACGTTGCCGAGTGAATCTTCGAATTCTTCTTCCTGCTCCGGTTGCCAACGTTCCGCTTGTTTCTGCGCTTTGAGTTTTTCCCAAAGAGCGAGAGCGTCCTCGATCTGAGTGACGTTAGCAAAATGCGCCGTATTCGGTATACCGAGACAACGCATACCATGAGCGTGTCTCCATTCCGCGAAGTGTCTCTGAAACGCTTTCGGACCTTTATAAATAAAATTGCCGCAAATCTCGCAATTGTAACTGATATTTAAACCATGTAGTTTGTACAGCCAGTAAGGTATAGGCTTTCCATCCCATCCCAGGGGTAGATTTTTTGGATTATAAGGGACCTCATTGTCATCTTCTTCTTCGGATTCGCTAGCACTCGCTTCCGCATCGGAATCTCCTCTCTCACCTTCGGTTCTTGCTTGCTTCCTCTGTACATTTTCTTTCGTAGCCACTCGCTGACTCGATACCAGTTCAGCAAGTCTGTATACGTGAGCTTCAAGACGTGCTATTTCCTTTTGCTTCTCAGAATCTTTGTTCTTAGCTGATTTTCCTTTACGATTTTTAGCCAACAGATTGGGATCTAAAGAGGCCTCGCCTTTCGTACTAAAAAGTCTTTGTGCGCGTTCTTCTAGTGTACCTCCACATTTGAGCCCTAATGCCATTAAAGCAGACTTCAACCTATCCAAGCCGAGAGATGCTAGCTCTTCCCACGAGGAAAATGCTGATAGTTCAAGATGTGCTCCCACATGAGTGAGAGCGCTTCCGGTTTCCTTGGGCCATCCTGGAAAAGTGTTCTTCTCCCACTGAGAGTGAAAATTTTTATTGGCTTCTTCAATTTCTGCATTTATATCTAACAGAGGTCTGACTCTGCTCAGATAATCCTGCAGATATTCTAACAAGGATTCCACATATCTCTGATATTCGGCATTCTTTCTTTCTCGCGGAATATCAAATAGATGATCGAAAGTTGACAAATACGTAATGTAATCGATTTTTTCTATTCCTTTGAGATTAATATACTTTTGATAACATTCGTGAAGATCAAGATACTTTCCGTAACCCTCCTCGTCTGAAAATTCAACAAAGTTGGATAGTTCTTCGGTTGGATTTTCTCTCATCTTAGCTAACTCTTCAAATTCGACTGACATAGGTACGCTGATCTCATTTGGGTGTCGTCGATAAAATTCTTTTATGGTTTTTAAACGCGAATAGAATTCGGAGAATTCATTTGGACCAGAGAGAGCTTGAACCTAAACAATGAAAAATAATTCATATATAATTTTTGTAAAAAAAAAATGTTAAGAAACATTGAACTTGATAAGATTGTTGTTACACAACAGATATATACATATATATATATATATATGTTTATACATTTCTATAAAGAGAGAAACATATGTTTTCAATTAAACATACCTCTTCCTTTCTCTGTCCGTCTTTATCTTCGTACAATTCCTGCAAATGCGCCGTACTGTCTATATATTGGTCGAGTAACATCTTCAGGCGATGCTCTGAATTGATGTTTTCGCGATGTCCTGTTTTCTTGTGCAGCATCTCTTTTACCATTGCGTCCATCAATCGCTCTTTTTCTTCGTGATATCTTCTTTGCTGTTCCAATATTGTTTCCATTTTTGTTTCTGTGTAAGTTCAGATTTATTTGTGTGACCAGAGAGAAGCCTGTCAGAGCGGCCATGCCATTGTAGTTTCTTACGACGGTTTCAACCGCTGGTTTTTTAGCCGTATTTTCACAAAAGTGGAACTCAAAGGCCGTTTTACATTAAACGCAAGTAGCAGATCTCGTGGACCAATTGACCAATTGCAGAGTCAAATCAGCCAATCGACCAACGTGATTGATCAGTTCCACGAGACCTGCGACTTGAGTTTCATGGAGAACGGCCTTTGAGTTCCACTTTTGTGGAAATACGGCTAAAACCAGCGGTTGAAACCGTCGTAAGAAACTACAATGGCATGGCCGCTATTAAGCTCGATTTCGAGAGCCATCTGTTACATTAAAATTCAACTTTGTTCTAATTTGCGCTGCTTTATCAACTCCTAATTCCAACGATAAAAAAGCACAAATTTCATCAATTCGTAATATTTACATAACGACACAGAACCGCTTCGGCGAACAATCGAATAATAATAATATTCAAGAAGTCGACAAAAAATCGCGCTACAAAAACCAGTCAACGACGATCATAATATTCTAATTTTTTATTGCGCGCGCGCAACTCAAATCTCGCAGCATAAGTCGTCCAACCTTAACAAATTAAACAGTCGGATCTTTTTGGATTCTACTTGTTCCGGCGCGATTCTGCTGTTTTTTTTCCTTAATTCTTCACAATTACGGTTTTGACATTCTTGACGTAATTTTGACAGATACGAGACACACGGGCGATTAAAAATATTCGAGACAATGACGTTGAACATCTTGAAGTGCTGTATTTCTAAATACGGCATGCTTCAACTGAAAGAATTGTCAATTTGTTCAACATCAAGATTATATCTTTCCACTTCGGCTACAATGAATGCTAAGGTACAAATTTTTCGATAATAGGAAATAGAAAAAAATAAAAAAATAAAATAAAAACTCACGTAAAGATAAATTTACGAGTTATTTAAAAAAAAAACCATTGTTCTAGAGATAAGATTAAGCATGTTTTGATCTTTCAACATTTTTGTGTTTACGAAATTTTGGTTTTACGTAACAACAAATATATTGACGAATAAAAGAGATCAGAGGATTAAGATAACAACTTTTGTTATCTCTGTCATCACTGTATTTCATTCAAATTTTAATACATAATTCTCTTATAAAACGTCTTGCAAAAAAAGTATTTGATAACAAAATTTCTCAATAGTAATACAGAAACTTATAAAAAAGTTTTTAAACGTGTATATGTATATAAGAAATAAATATTTTAAAATTAAGATATTTTTAACTAGAGAACTATATATTTGATTTTCTATATTTTGACACTTAAATTTATTTATTTATAATATGTTTTACTTATTTATAATGTTATATTAAGAATATGTTTCCTTGAAGTGTGTTACATGTGTGTCAAAACACACATATTCACACATACACACGAGTATTCTCTGTTTGCTTATCATCTTCTAGCTGTTTGTTCCACTAAATCTTTCAATTTTTTTGTGCCAACCAGCTACATCTTACGCAATCTCAATAATGGTAGAACTTTTAACTTGAAAAATATCTGTTATATAATAACTATTGTATATAAAATACATATTTTATTATTATATATAACACATTTTTAAGTGTTAATTAGTGTAAGTAACTGTACTGTTTGTTTGTACCATATGGTACTTGTATAGGACAGCACAGGTTATAGAATTGAGAGAGACACATTTGGAGAATTAAAAGTCCCATCAGACAAGTATTATGGTGCCCAAACTCTTCGTTCAGTGATGAATTTTCCAATTGGTGATACATTTGAACGTATGCCTGTAAGAAAAGTGGCGTTATTACAAAATTGCCAATATAATATTTTTCTGCTAGCATTTTTTTTTTTGTAAAATCAAAATAATTGTTGATTATCTTTGCAGTATGGAGTAATAGTTGCTATGGGTATATTGAAGAAGGCTGCCGCAGAGATAAACAAAGAATATGGTTTGGATCCTAAGATTGCGGATGCAATTAGCAAAGCAGCAAACGACGTGATAAGTGGAAAATTATATAATGATCATTTTCCTTTGGTTATATGGCAAACTGGATCTGGTACCCAAACTAATATGAATACCAACGAGGTTAAAATTCTTTGTGTCACTTTTAACATCGCGCTTAAAAACAATTAATAGAAAATTGTTTTTTTTTCAACAAAAATTTATAAATTCTTAGGTCATTTCTAATCGCGCAATTGAAATGCTTGGTGGTGAGCTGGGCTCGAAGAAACCTGTACATCCAAACGATCATGTTAACATGTCACAGAGTAGCAACGATACATTTCCGACAGCTATGCACATAGCTGTTGCTTTAGAAATCAATAAGGTGTTACTTCCAGGTTTGGAAAGTTTGCACCTGGCATTAAAAAAAAAAGCCGAAGACTGGAAAGATATTATCAAAATCGGCAGGACACATACTCAGGATGCAGTTCCGTTAACGTTAGGCCAAGAATTCTCAGGTGTCTGTTTATATGCAAGCTAGTTAAATTTTTTAAACGGTTCTGATAGATATATAAAGATACGTATTTTGTTTTGAAGGATATGCCACACAAATCGAATATGGTATTAAAAGAGTAAAAGATACGTTACCGAGATTATATCAGATAGCTCTTGGCGGCACAGCCGTCGGGACTGGGTTAAATACGCGAAAGGGTTTCGCGGAGAAAACAGCTGCAAAAATCGCGGAACTCACTGGTTTGCCATTCGTATCCGCTCCGAATAAATTTGAAGCTCTAGCTGCGCACGACGCGATTGTTGAAGTACACGGCGCCTTCAATACGGTGGCTGTTTCTGTCATGAAGGTATTCGTATATTCATATATTCATACACTGTTTAAAAAAACTTTCTTTTAGTTTTGTTTATTTTTATCATTTGTCTTTTCTTGTAATCTGCATAGATCGCGAATGATATCAGATTCCTCGGCAGTGGGCCTAGATGCGGTTTGGGAGAACTCTCTTTACCGGAAAACGAGCCCGGAAGTTCTATTATGCCTGGAAAAGTAAATCCCACGCAGTGCGAAGCTATTACTATGGTGTGTTGTCAAGTGATGGGTAATCACGTAGCAGTAACTGTCGGTGGCAGCAACGGTCACTTTGAACTCAACGTGTTTAAACCCGTCATGGTCGCAAACACTTTAAGATCTGCGAGACTGTTGGGTGACGGTTGCGCCTCGTTCACGAAAAATTGCGTCGAGGGCATTGTTCCCAATATCGATAACATAAAGAAGATAATGAATGAAAGTCTGATGCTTGTTACAGCGCTGAATCCACATATTGGTTACGACAAGGTATTCGGATTACATTTTTTTTTAATCGAAGAGTCAAAAAAATTATTTTAAAATGCAGTTCAACTCTCTATACATATCAAATTTGTTAACATTTTGTAAGAGATCTTTATTCTTGCTTATAGGCTGCTGCAATCGCTAAACAAGCGCACAAAGAAAAACTTACACTAAAAGAATCAGCTTTGAAAAATGGTTTAACAGCGGAACAATTCGATAAGTGGGTCAGACCCGAAGAAATGCTTGGTCCTAAATAAATAAATTAATTCTTGAAGATAGGAGAGATAAAATATTTTACATCGCGTGTTGGTACTTATTTAATTTTTAAGTTTAATTCTAATATAAAGAGGTTTAATAATGAGATAATCTGATTGAGTGATATTTGTAATGTATATGACACGAAGTGTGTTCATTAAAGCTCATGTTATTCAAGTTTATAACATAAGTATCAAACTTAGTTACAAACTTTGTTGCTATGTAGTATTACCCTATCGGGAGAAGAAGTTGCTACATTTATGTATTTTAAATGAAACTATGATTTTCTCTATGATCATTAACCGCATTTTTCAGTTAGTTTTTGAGCAAATCTCGAAACCTTCTTGATAGAATTTTATTTGTTTGTGTTTAATTGTTTTGACATCACACACGCGTAATGCGCGCGCGCGTACAAGGGCGCACACATACACACGCACAAAAGAAATAGTGTTTCTCAACATTTGTTTCTTATCACATCGGAAACAGGTCAAAGGGCAGATTGTTTTTCCACGTATAACTAGCAGTAAGAAGATATAAAGCTGACTAAGTGCTAATGAAAAATAAAATGAATTTATTAAATAAAGTTCGTGTAATTTTTAATAAATTAAGTAGTCGTTGTTATAGTAGAAAAATTGGTATAATCGGAGTGCCATTTGACAAAGGACAAGTAAGTATATATAAATTTATATAAATTATATATGCTTTTATATGTAAGAGAAACAATGTAGTTATAAACTTATATATGAGTTATATAGAAAAAAGAAGGAGTAGCCCGTGGACCCGAAGTGATAAGAGCAGCGAAGTTGATACAGGAATTAACAACATTAGGTATATAAATAGCACACGATAGTTGTTGATAATAAAAGAAAAAATACAATATAAAAATTTAAATATTGTCTTTTCTCACTTTCTTGGTTTTATCATATAATGTAAATATTTCTAAATTTGTATGACATCTATTATTCTCAAAAAGATTTAGATGTACGAGATTACGGTGATATATCTTACGATGTAAAAAATACAAATGATATAAACAATATGTCATACTTGGACCACGTGGCAAGTTGTACGAGTCGGTTGTCCGAACAAATTCGACAAGTACTACAAGATGGCAGGCAAGCGTTAACGATTGGCGGTGATCACAGCTTGAGTATCGGTACTATCGATGGACACGTGAAGGTACAAAATGAGAAATATTTTTGCAGAAGAATTGATAAAATTTATTATCAAGTTTAACGACAACTTATCACAGGCAAAACAAGATGTGGCAGTAATATGGGTGGATGCTCATGCGGATTTAAATACCAACAAAACTAGTGAAAGCGGTAATGTGCATGGGATGCCAGTGGCATTGTTAACTTCAGAGCTAGCCGACTACTGGCCATATTTACCAGGCATGGACTGGCAAATGCCAATGCAAGTGTTGTAATCTCGAATATTTATGTTACAATTTATCGTTCTTTCTGACACATTAATCAATACCAGTTATTAATACAAATTATAATTTTAAATGATTTCTTTAGGCTCTCTATTAGAAATATAGCTTATATTGGTTTGAGATCTGTGGATTCCTATGAAAGATTAATAATTGAAAAATTTGGCATCACTGCTTTTGGCATGGAGGATATAGAACGCTATGGTTTGCACAAAATAATAAAGTGAAATATCGAATGTGCGCGCACTATGTGTAAATATTAAAATATTTATGTTTTTAGGTATTCACGACGTGATGCACATGGCACTCAATAAAATTGATCCTCATAGCTCGAAATCTTTGCATGTCAGTTTTGACATAGATGCATTAGATCCACTTGAGGCACCTAGCACTGGAACTCCAGGTGTGTGTAGTTGAAATTAGAATAAACAGAAAATTTTTAGTCACTCTCTTTTTTCATAAGTTACATGTACTTTTTATTTACAAATTTACAATTTATATATATTTACAAATCACAGTTCGCGGAGGATTATCTCTTAGAGAAGCGATTCATCTAATGGAAGAAATATATAGAACTCATAGACTAAGCGCTATCGATCTGGTAGAAGTTAATCCACAAATTGGTAGCGAACAAAATGTGAAAACTACTGTGGAAGCTGCTATATATATCATTCAAGCTGCTTTTGGATATACAAGACGTGGCTTGAAAGTGCCAGTAGGTGTTACAGATATGCCTTTGCAAACATTTCATTGATATATTCTTTTAAATAAATAAACAATATACCTCATGTGTTCCATAATATTGTGCGCACTGTCTTTTGTAAAAATATTTTCTATTTTTCTGAATTATATATGTTATTTAAAGCAATGATATATAGTCCTTGATTTTAAATACAATTTTTATTAACTTAACTCACATTGTCTCTAAGCACAAATGTCTTTCCGGGTATGTTATCAAATGTGACTTCAATCTTAGATACCTCAGGTGTTTTGTTTTCACGATCTAACGTTACTTCGTAATATAACGATCCCTTTGTGTTGCTACCTGTAAGCGAAACCTTGAACCAAGTGTAACTCGGTTCTTGGTCTGGGTGATGTTCATTGCCGTATCTGATGCGACCCAGTTGTAAAGGTTCTCCGAGATACGGTACAGCTTTTTTGTGCGCACGTAAAGCACTTATCGCGTTCTTAAAAGTCTCGCTTTCTCTGATATTATGTTGCACGCGAAAATGAAAAGCATAACCTGTACATCCGGTTACAAGTCCTCCTATACTTGCTATTTTCATGAGTGTGTTGGTTGATACCATCTGCAACGAAAGAAGTTCAGTACTTTTGCTTCAAAAAAGAAGTTCTGCGTTTTCTTCCAATTATTTGTTTTTTTTTTTTTTTATAATTACTTCGCAGTTATGGTTCTATGTAGGCCTACTCGGCTGGTGCATACGCCATTTTTTAAAATTATTCAACTTCATTTAAAGGCCCGTTTATGCGGGCAATGACCGTATGGCGGTAACCTAACCTACAAGTTGTTAAAGATCCGTTTATGCACTAACCGAACAGCCGAGCGTGACGTCACGCACAGAATGCGGTTCTCGCTTTATCTTGCTCCAATGACTGCGTTCTAAAATTTATCAGTACTGGAAATCTATAGCATGTGTAACGGATGTATAGATTTTACTGGCGGTGCAATATTGGAACGCGGTCAATATATGTGAGAATAAAAATGAATTAGTACCGTCGATAGAGATAAGTAAACAAAAATATGACAACCAGTTCGGAAGTTATTTCGGAGAAATGTCAAGAAGGCGCGATTCGATGCATCTTCTTCTCCGAGTTTCATCATATAGCGGGCCCAAAAATTACACTGCAAGTCAGAACAATAATATAGAGACAAAAATAATAATTACCTTGCATGTATACAATTTCCGTTTATATAAAATATATGTTATTTTACAGGTGCCTGACAATTTTATATCCAAAGACATTTTTGACAACGTCAGTGTTTACATTATACCAAAAGCACAGTTACAAAGAAGCACCATTACAATGTGAGTAAAGATCCTAAACAAGAAAGACTGAGTATATATAGAAATTTAAACTTAATTTTGTATTAATTTTTCTCTTATTTGAGTTCTTCCTTTTGTAGCACATTGAAGGATTATAAAATTTTAGGATTTCCTGTAAAAATTGATGACAAAAAGTATGCCAGAAATGCATTTTACTTCAACTTGTGTTTTGTCTTTCATGCAGATGCTCGTACTGTCCAGTATGAACCAGTAGTCAAAAAGATGTCAGATTTTTTGGTAAAGATTTTTCGTGACTTATCCTTATAGTCTTCGCGTAATAATCCTACGAAAATAATTATTGTACATTATTGTAATTGTTATATCATTGATAGATGGCTTTGGAAATAGAAAATTGCTTTTTATCTGCCTCAGATGATAAAACCAGATTAGCAGAGATGCTCGCACAAGTCATGCAGGATTTGAATCTAAATAGAATGTGCACATTAACTGGTAAATTGATTATTTATGCAAGTCTAGAGAAGAGTCACAAAACTTATATTGATTTATGTCAAAAATATAATAATTCTCTTAAGTTGTAATTTTATGATTGGAGTTAACTGTAACACTGTGATACATTTATGTCAATATAACATTTAATAGGATCGTATTTTGTTTTCATATAAATAGTGTATTAAATATATGAATAGTGTGTGTACATTTTTTAGAAGGAACAATGACGTCTCACTTAAAAGTGGTGAAATTGGCACCCGAGCCCAAACCAGTTCTTGATCATCAGGTACCAATATTCTTGGAAAACAGAGAGACGTTTCAGAGTGATCAATGGGATTTGACTACTCAGCAAGTGTTACCTTACATTGATGGTTTTAATCACGTAGCGCGTATTGCGGCTGAAGCAGATGTGGAAAATAATTTAGTCAAAAGCTGTGTTCAGAATCTTGTGTAAGAAAAAAAAATATTTAAAGAACAATAATCTATTCGTACGTGCTTTACTAACAATCTTAGTCTCTTCGTCTTATAATCAGCGAGCTATCTTGTTTTGTTTGGTTTTTTTCAGATATTACGGAATCGTGACTCTTATTCCAATATTTCAGTACAGTAATGTTTATGCTGCGACTCCGAAATTAAAACAGTTGGCAAATGACATAAAGTTACAGGAGAGATGTATAGCGTATGCTTCCAAATTATGTAAGTGTCAAATAGAGCGTGTGTTAAGAGAGTGTTAATAATATGCTTATAGTTTTATTTTTATACTTTTCTTTATGTTTATGTAATTTTATTAAGATTAGTTTTCTTCGCGTAGCTAGACAACCTGCGTATTTTAGAGATATATATCGTATGTATTCGAACATGACTCATGGCATCAGTATGAAAGATTTGTGCCAACGTCTCAATCCACAAAACTTGAGAATAAACGAGAGAAGGCTTGTACAATTCGGTTTGATCGAAGGACTTATCAGAAGAGTGTATAACGTGAGTAGTGTGAAAAAAAAATATCAAAAGTAAAGATTCTTAATAAAAATAAGACAAACAGCACTGTACGTATGTACATACGTTGATATGCAATTTTTGCAGTATCCTGTGCTTCTTCCTGGTGCGTCTTGCAGCGAAGAGGCCAAAACCAATCCCATCTATAAGTATTTTACAGGCACGTACAGTATTGATGAGATATGTTGCAATACCAATCAATCTGCTGCGCAAATCGAAGACATCATCGATCGCGATCTAAATGTTGTAGTGATATGGAAATGATATGTTTTAAATAAATTAACCAAAACAATCAGGCAAGTTTTTCTTGGAAACACATTCTTATGTTTTTAAATTTTATAGAATTTTTTTTTACATCAGATTAAGAATCTATTGTTGAATAAAACTTTTTTATTTCAGTATAATTAAATATTCTGTGACAGTATGTGTGTGTGTGTACAGACTAATAGAAGGCGAGTTTGATAAAAAGTTTATCACGTTTTTTTTCAAAAAAGATTAAGGATTTCATTCTGTGTGTATGTTAACGTGTGTATACGATGTAAGATCTTAACATAACAATATGTGTACCATTCGTCATTTTTTCAAAAAGTTGAAAATCTATTGTGTGTTCACTTCCAAATCTGATCGCATAGTTCACTAAATATTTTCAATCATCCGTTTTACTTCGTTGATGTACATATCTGGTACTTTGTGCTCTCGCATTTCTTGACATTTTCGTTCCATTGCATCCTGCAGTGTCTTCTTGCGCATCGCGATCTGCGAGCGAATCGCCAAACCTTCTTCAAACATTTTCTGTCGTTCGGCAATACGTTCTCGTTCCTTTTCATTCACCTGTAGATAAGATGCAAACTGACGTAGGACTATAACTACTGTTGGAAAATAAATGATAAATATTAACAAACAAAACAAACCTGTTTTAAGATCTCACTGCAATAAATCGAAGCTTGCCGTTGCTTTCGCTCGAGTTCCTTCTTTTCTTTGTTAAATTCCATCTGTTGCATGCGCACGATTTTCTCGAATTCTCGCCTGTCCCGCTCGATTTCAATAGCTTGCATTATTCGCTTGTTATTTATCTGCTGTTCTCTTTCATGTTGAAGAATCCTTTGGACCTCTTGTCGTTTCAAAGCTTCTTCCTTCTCTTTTTGTCTCCATTTTCGCTCCACCTCTTCTTGTATCCGAGCTGCATTAATTTCATCAATATGCGCCTGTAAATGTGTCGCTACAATTTGTTTCACATAACGTTAGTATGACATTATTTTTTTAAATAAAGAAAAACATTTGAAAATATTAATGAAACGCCATATTACACGCGCGATGTGATATTTAAAAATATATGCTGACAAAAATATTTCTAAGAAAGAAAACAGAGCAAAAAAAATGTTGAAAAAATAGTAACAGTACTAATGTTACATTATGATAATAGTTGGTATTCCTTGTCAAGCAGATATGTTTCATGTTCTGTAGATAGCGAGGCCTGACGTGGCGCTCATGGATTCATTGACCCTTGACAATAGGTACCTAACAGATAGTTCAGACACGCGAGGATATGTATGTATGTGCGTGCGCACGTGTAAATGATTGTAAAAATACAGTGTATGTATGTGTGTATAAATAATTGTAAAAATACACTTTCTTATTTTTTTAAATTATTCTATTTTTTTTTTTTTTTTTTGTAAAAAAATATCGTTTCAAAATCTAAGAAGATATTTGAATGACGTATATAATGCAAGAGATGTAAAAAGAGATGAATAATGATTTAATACCTGAAGCTCGTACGCTTGTACTGTTTGAGTCGCCACTCTGAATTTCTCACGCTCCTTTCTTAATTTCTCCAATCTCTGCTCCTCTGCTTTTTTAGCCTCTCGTTCTTCCTTCAATCGATGATAGTTTTGTATCCTGAAAAACGTATCTTCGCACGGTTAAATATAAACAAAAATAAATGTAGTTTAAAAAAAAAGTTCGATTTAAAAACCGGCGAAGTGTGTACCTCAGATCGATAATTTTGTTTTCCTCCTCCTCCATAGCTTTGAAGTACTTTAATTGTTCGTTTCCCTCCTCGAGTTCCTGCCGCACTCTGGCGTTTTCAGCTTCTTTGTTACGCAGTTTCTCTATTTCGTCCTGTTGCCAAGCTATGTTACTTAAATTAATAAGTCGACTTTCCTCCTGTTTTCTCTCGAACTCGAGAATTCGATGTTCTTCATTTTCGATTATCTGTTCTTTCAGAATCTTCGCGAATTGCAATCTCTTAGCCACCTGTTCCTGTTCCTTTCGCAACTCTTCCTTGATCTTCCATCTTCTCTCGTTTTCCATCATGTCGTTCAAACGTTTTTCCTCCTCGAGAAGTTCTCGTTCAATCAACTTTTTCTCAGCGATCTACAAAAACGATGTAGAAGAAAATTGAATTTTATATAAAGAGTAGAATAAGAAGTAAAATTTATTCAACAAAATAGATCAATTAACGCCTTGAATATATATTTTTACACACACACACACTATATATATATATATATATTATATAAATATATAATAAACTGATAGAACTACAGAAAATCGGCCGTTACTTGGGCATCGCGAATTGCGCGGCATTTGGCTTCCAGAATAATACGATTGCATTTTTTTATCTCCTCCTCCTGTTCCATACGCAAGTTGTTTGCTCGCTCAAGGAAATGCATCGTTCTTTTACGAGCTTCCTCCTCGATCTCTCTCGTTTTAGGATCTTTCTCACGGCCTTTTTTAAGATCCATTTGACGAATTGCCTCTTTTCGCTCCATACTTTCTTTTGTAAGTCTCTCCCTCTCCTTTTCCACAGTTTCCAGAGCCTCTTGTTTCTCTGCCTTCGACATCGTGCGACTGCGATCCTTCAAACACTCGTATTCCTTTCTCGTCATGATTTTTGGACAAACTCCAGACTCCTTCGAGGGAATCAAGTATTTTCTTTTACTCGAAGTACCGGTCGTGCTTCTTATCTTCTCAATCTGCAAGATTTATTGACAACTTTTTTTTTTTTTACAAAATGCGGAGCGCTGTTACGCGTGTGATCTAACAATTTTATTATTCGTAATTTATATTAATTTTTATTAATTTTATAATTGTTTTTAATTAATTTATAATTTATATTTTATCTGTTTTGTTTTTACAGTTACACTATACCTCTTTGCTTTCACACGCGCTGCTTCTTCTCAAATGAATCGGCCTGTCGTCGAGCACGCGGTCGCAAACTGACGGCGGATGAATTGCGTACACGCTCCCCGATGGATATTTGGAATTGCCTCGATATTCGAAGTTACCTGATTTCACTTTGCGCACCAAGGTCTTGGTCGACATGATTATCGCGTGTACTGTAATCACTTTTTTTTTCAAAAAACGTTATCCAAATGACAGTTCCGTGTGGCACCTCACGTACCGAACACGTTTCTTCGCAAAAACGCCGTCGATTTTTCGCGACGTCCACGAAGCCGAATATTCGGAATTCATATATACACATAGAAGTACATTGATAATGATTACGGCTCTTGATACGAATAGCGAAGTGAGAAAAGTGGACGTAACCTGATAGGAGCGACCGCAGCGAGATACTGCCGTTAACTGTCGGGTAACCGTTCCTTTGTTTGTTCGATATATACCCATAGAAAGAATTAAACGAGAATACACACAGACCGCCGATCGTATTACGAGGATCGTGTTTCGCACGACTGCGAGCGAGAAGCGCGATAATGGAGAATACCACGGTTGACAACGAAAATTTAAAAAACAAGAGTATTCGTTCAAAGAGATAAATTATTTTTATTAAAAACAATATGAAGATCAATATATATTACACAAATTATTTACATGTTATATAAATCATTCATTTTAATTACTCTTGCGAAGTAATTTAATATTTTTAAGTAAAATATATTAACAGAGAGAGAAAGTTGTTAGTTTGCATTAGAAGAAATTGAATTTTAAAAATTACGTTGTTTTACAGTTTTGATCAATTAGAAAATATCTATGTTCATATACACGGTCTCAAAAAAAGTGCTGTATAAAGTTACATTGCAACTTTGTTAATAACACCAATCGCCGTCCGCGATACGCGCAACTCACCCCTTGCACTTGACCTTCCCTGTCATCAGTTGCCATGAGAACATAATTCGTATCCATACGACAAAGACATTCAACTTACATTGTTTATTCCCCTTTCACATGTACAATTTTATTTCTCATAACGCGTACGCTATGTGAATCATTACCGTGTGCTTTTTTATTCTTTATGCTCTTCTCTTTTTTTTTTTTTTTTTCCAAAACTCGTATTATAAAGCAAACATGCTGGAAATCCCCCCCGAGGGTACGTATTTGTGTGTGGAATAATTAAAGCCTAATAACACTTAAGGAAATAGCACACAGATTGGTTTAATAATTGCCTATTAGATTATCTAAGAATTTTTATTCTTTTCATAACGCGCGTGTAAAGGTTTTGCGCGAATGATCAAAAGTCTCTCCAAACAACGGAGTAAATTCAAGACGAAAGACAATCGATCGCCGTGCGTATGGGCGTACTTTACATGCGCTAAAGTTATATTTAGTTCTCGAACTAAGTAAATGTAAGTTCTTTGAAATAAGGACAACTTCTTTATTGAACTTGGAGAAAGATCGGACTACGTGTGCGTCATAATTTGACACCGCCACATTAAATATGCCGCAAAAAATGCTTTTTTCATTTTAACAAAATCGATTGTGGTTTCGAACATGTCACAACGTATAAACGTCACTTTTTAATACTCACATGTTTCGTTCGCAAACAAATGTTGGATAAAAAATCCTAAATTAAAAATATCGTTACTTTTGTTAAACAAAAAATATCTATCAAATGTGAGAAAAATTTTATTCATTGAGAAAACACATAGTGGAACAAGTAATAAATGCGATATTGTTCGTTCAATTTATTTTACAGATCGCAAAATATAATCCGCAATTCAAGACGTGGCCTAACCATAGAATGGCAACTTTGTTCATCGAACATAGACCATCATCGCCCTTATCGTTGTTCAAGAGAAGTTCTCTAACGCCGACAACCCCTCTCCACGATAACGACCTCGACGTACCACGTGGCACGCTACTATGTACTTCGACGGTGGTCGCACTCGCGTGCTGTATACCGGTTCCAGCGCATCGCGGCCGTGTCACGTCGCACGCGATGCGTCGCATCCCCGGGACATGAATCACACGGTAAATAAACTACAAGTGCAACGAAAAACTGTGATGATATCTCGCTTTTCTTGAGAATTTATATCAATAAAATATATAAACACGAAACAAATTCTATATTACACGCTCAAGACCCAACTAAAAAGTTACACGAAACTTGAATTTTTTTTTTTTTTTTATCTCTTTAAATTGTGAATATTTTATAAATTCGTAGACGGTGTAAAATTTTCAATTATTCGATTAGGATTGATTGGTTTTGCAATACAATGTGACAATCCGAGGATGAATGGGAAAAAATAAACAAGAGGCCGATGCGTCTCTTCTCTATGGGAGCGCAACAGTGCGTACACGTTAAACTGCGTTCATCAACTGCACTTGTGCGCGTGATCTTCCCCGCAGAAAATCATCGATGAAAGAACAATGAACGGACGTAGCGAACTATTCTGGAATTCTGACTGTCCAGTAAGTACTTTTTAATTATGATCGCACACAGAATATATATATATATATCGTGTAAAGATGTCTCTCTTCTCTTTGTCAAGGCACAATATTATGTAATATCATTATCTTATTCGTGTGCCATTGACAGTCTATTCACAGTTGGTGAAAGATACAATTGTTAATTAAAAAACAAAATACATAATCTGGATAGTTGATTTTACCTATTGTTTGGTGGTTCAAAATACAAATGTTAATTGCTGCTTTTGTAATTAACAGTTCCACGTATCTTGACGAATGTCGGGATACGCAACTAAATTATCAAATGTACCGATAAGTTAAGTAAAAGAACCGTCTTTTTACAAACACCTGCATCACCGAGTGTTAGAGAAGAGGATCGTTGATTTCCTCACGCGCGCTATTTTTTTCTTTTTTTTTTCGACTGGAGATAGATATTGTCGATATCCGTGAGAAGAAGAGTGTCGATGACCCTTGTATACCCGGACATAGATATTGCATACGAAACATACGTTCGCAATGAAGATCTATCTATAGACGTAGCATTCAATCACATCGCCGCATACACAAAAACATTACTGACGTAGTCACAACAAAGACCGCCCAGAAATTATGCACATTGAGCTTCGTCATTGGTCAATTATAGCTAATCTCTAATAAAATGACTTAGATTTATTTAGATTGATAATAATTGTTTCCGCGCGTTAAATCAAATTATACGATCCTTTGTTTTTCGAATCAGAAATCAATTGATTGTATCGATGTGTGTTAACGTAATAGAATACGATAAAGACCGTTTAAATGGTTCAATTAAAATTTTCAATTTGTCAGGAAGAGAGAGATTAATTTTCTATATATATATAATATACGCATCATACTTCATATACCTATCTGTTTTTACGCAAACAACAAAAACACGTATACACATAACAAAAAAAGATACTCGTGCATCGAAGATGCTAGATAATAAGATTATACTATGTACTTTACTTAAACGGACTACGCAGAACTACGAAGAGGATACCGTAAGTGGACCGGTAAATTATGAAAGACCCTGTTTCTTTTTCCTCGAAAGGGTTTTGCTGGTTATATCTCACACTAATGTTGTCTCTGTAAAGGGTGCACGTATAGCATTCATTTCCTTCGTATAGATGAAGCGCTCAAATGTTTCTCGCACTTCGACATTTAAAAGCATGGAAATTAAATTTAAAAATTAAATATTTTTTTCGTATCACACAATATCGCGACACGTTCTTCAATTTGTTATAAATTCTCGCAAACGAAGTTTTTTCATGTACGTACGAGAAACTTGTTAAAAAATAAATTTGAAAAAAATTAAATTTTATTGATATATATATTGTCTATACTTTTTAATGATGTATTTACTTTTTGAAGGATTGATGTTCGAAAGACCAAATAAATACAATCTGCGATGCAAAAGTATCGGGAACGTCATGTATCTTTATAGGAGAAGAGTTGTAAAATCAAAAAAGAAGACAATGTGTGCCAAGTTTTACAATGACACAGATCACGACTGTTATGTTTGCGCTTACATTTCAATGTGTGAATCTGTATGTAAATCTAATCTGGTGTTAGATACTACGCTAATCGCTCATTCTTTCATTCGAGAGTCTCACTTTTCTTCTCCACAAATACCCGAGTGTTTTGTGAGTGTTTATGAAATTAAATCCTGTGGGATATAAATAAATAATTTTTTGTTTTCGGTTTGCATCGAAAAGAAAAACAAGTGTTTTCGTCAAGAATGCTGCACAAACGACACAAACGAAAAAAAAAAAAAAAAAAAGAAAAAGTCGCGCAAGTGTGATCGACTTCCTTGTCCCTTCCCCTTTGTTTTTCTGTTTGCGCTGGAGGAGGATGCGCTAGGATGCACACCAGCCGACACAGCCAGCCAATTGAAATACGCCTGGTCGTGCCGAAGGACTCCCGAAAGGGAGCAACCAGCTGCTACGCGTGTGGTGTTAAATAAAGAGGGGAGAACATACGCACACACACACACACACACAAACATGTGTGCGATCCGCTATCATTCCGCCGGCCGGCTTGCTTCATGACAGTTCGCATCATAGTTTCCATGACACGTGAGAGATATCGCGTCACTTGAGGGTGTCAAACCCTGGGGTCGGCATGTTAAACAAAAAAGAAAACGATTGTTCAAAACAGACAATTTCGACGTTTCTTAATAAAATACTATAAACGAAAAAAAGGAGAAGAAGAAATTTCAATAATTTTGACAATGTGAATTGTTACGTCATTACAACTTGAAAGGTTTTCAAAGTTTTTTTTTTAGTGGAAACATTTTTAAATTTGAATGTAAATGTGGACCAAGAGAGAGAGAGAGAAAAAAAAAGAAACAGAAGAAAAAAACGTGATACTGTGTTTTTTAAAAAAAAACGAACATCCATAAAAGGAAAAGAGACAAAAAATACGAGGATTTACATTGTCGGTCTTCTTCGTCGTCTCGTTGCGAGATTGGCGATCTCCAATGAGTGGTTGACGATAACGTATAACTCTTGCTGCAGTGGTACAGTAATGTAAACATATCATTTGTGAGATATATTCATTCATCGATTTGACAGAAAGTGCTAATAAGTGAGCTTCGTGGTCGAGCAAAAAAGTGCTATTAATTTTTTTTGTTTGTTTTAATTTTGTACATATAAAAATTACATTGATATAATTTTCACACACACACACACACACACTTCAAATATTACAACTTTGCTCAAACAATTGCTGTTCCGTTACAATAGTGCTCGTTTAATCGGATATGTCGATGCAAAAAGTAATTAGAGCATTTGTGCTTCTTCTTATTAAAGTCGGGATGATATCGATCAAGTATAGTTTAGTTTCTTCGATTATACGGTATGTGTTGAACATTTTCTTTTAATTATTCTAAACAAATTTTAACACAATTTTTTTTTTTAATTTAGTGTCATATGGAAATATGGAAATATGTAAATACAAGCAAAGAAATATGGTAATTATTTGCATAAAGTCAACCCCTTCGAAAGTCAATGATCTTGACATATGTTATACATGACATATGTTGTAGCAGAACCTGCGCGGAAACTATACAAACAATGACATCCAAACAGCGACACTTTAACAAATTGATAGATCTGTTAATTTATCGATTTTGATAGTATCAATAGAACTATTGACAAAACGTATGCCTGATCTTACAGATGGTCCCTAATCTGTTGTGATATTTAAATTTGCAGCCAATTGTGTATATATAAAGTTTTGAAATATTAGTTCTTTTTTTTTTTTTTAAAGTCGGGAGAAAGACTTACGAGCTCGTTTTAATAATTTGTGTCGCCATTAATTTCACTTAAACATTTATTATCATTCAACAATTACAATTCCACCAAATAATTACACTTTTTTTTACATAACGCGTGCACATGTCGCGACAACGAAAGTTTTTAATGCAGACACTTTTTTTTCAATTTTTAATTGCTTTGAAGCAGAAACAGAAGTTCGCTTTCAACTTCTTCTTTTGACCGTAATTTTCGCGCAAAACAAAAAAAAAAAAAAACGAAGAAGTGCGTACGTGCGTTTGACAAGATGAGAAAAAAAGAAAAAATAAGACGAGGTGGCGTGCATCGCGTGCGAAATGTAATTTCTTTTTTTTTCGTACGTTCGCCTACCTATCGTACATACATTTGACACACACAATGCGTACGACGAACAATCGATAAGAATCGATAAATGAGACTTCTATCAAAAAAAAAAAAAAAAAAAAAAAAAAAAAAAAAACACAATGTAGAATGACATGTAGCGCACGAAGCTTTGCAATTATTACCTTCCCTTTGCGTTCCCCTCATACATATGTATTATTTGCATCGCGAGACTTTGTTCAACTTCATCGACCAAACCTACTAAAGTATACCGTTGTCTCTCTTTAATACTTAATTGCCCTTCTTTCTCTTCTCCCCCTGCGCTTATTCTATTACAGCACGCGTGACCTGCGTGTGAAAAGGCGGAAAACATCGGCTTGTTTGAAAATATTTTGAAATTATTAATTAGAAATACGCATTACAATACACATAGAATAAACATTTAATAGTCAATTATATTGGAAAAATAAATAAGACCAAGCGCCGAATGTGCGCGCGAAATATTTTATTTTAAGTGCAAATTAAAATCACGTAAATAATTTGAATTAAATTCAATTCGATAATCTTTTCTTTTTAAATTCACAAGAAGGTATGTGTGTGTGTCTGTGTGTACGTAAAAAAGATTGTTTCTATATACGGAATACAAACATTCGATATAGAGATTTCGAATTGAATTCAATTCGAATTATAAATGTGTTGTTAATTTTTTATTTTAAAAAAATATATATATATTTTGCACATACATTTAGCGCGTAGCTCTGACTAGTCTTATTGTTTTTTTTTTTTTTTTTTTTTTTTAATAGAAAAGCCGTGTACGATCTGTACAATTTGCGTATATATATTTTTTTTAAATCAGCATAAAGATAATTAAAGAAAGTCGATCGGAGTACGTATCTAATATCTTCAACCTGATTAAGATATAAATCCGCTTAATTGGATCGTAGATTTTTATAGATCGCGTGGAGAGCAATAATAGATTTATTGACTTTACATGTGCGTCGTGTATTTTGTCACAAACGTTCTTCTTGTAAGAAGTAGTCGCGCGTGTTGGACACTTGTAGTAGATGTTGATCTATTGAATCTATTTGGATCTAGTTGATAGATCTCTCACACCTGTGTGTACACTGAATTCAATACGATACGGATGTCGTAAGAAAGAAGGTGATCATCGGGCTCTAAGGAAGATTTTGGACAAAGTTTCTAGCTTAAGATCGCCGAAGAAAAGAATGCGTTCGCACGATCGGAGCCCGAATGTTCCGCTGAAGCTGCGGAAAACGAAGTTGTTACTGTCGAGAACGAGCCAGTCACCGTCCCGTAGATCCAAAGCCGCATCAACATCCTGTGACAAAAGATCCTGTAACAAAGAGAGAAATTCATCGGGCGGACGACGTTCCGCCGCAATCGATCCAAACGATTCCGATGTCATTACCTGCTGCGACATCGACGAGCTCTTCTGCGAGAACAGCAATGTGAGCGACGAGAAAACAATCTGTCCGCGAATTTCGAGCTCGACTTATGAAGCCGATGTCGACGGCGAGATGACCTTCTCGTCGAGAACAGGCGCGTCAATAGAGCGGAAAGACACCCCCATTCTAGTAGATCTGACTAACGAGGAGTCGAAGCAAGTCACTTGGAAGCAGACTGTTTTGAAGCAATTCGGAGAAGATGAAGAGAGCTCGGAGTCGGGTGAGAATGTTGTGATGCCGAAAGCAGTAGTATCGTCACGAGACTTGTCACTTTGTAACGCAGGCGGGACGATGCCGGGGCAATTAAGACGATATTGAGATTAATCATTCATATAAAATAAACAATTCCATACCGTCTATAATTGAGCAGTTTTATATATAATAAATAAATATATGTATATATGTTACGTGGTTAAATTTTAGTTTTCGAATGTAAAATATCTCGTTAATTCTTTTCCCAGAATCCCGCATCATGATAGCCGACAGTTCTAGCAGATTGCAACGTGCCGGGACTGGCAACAGTATGGCAACCGCTCTGAGAGATCGCGGTCCTTGCGTGATACCGGTCCAGCCAAATCGTTCGCTGCCGATCCGACCGGCGCCGCCGATGCCAACGAGATCGGCATCGATCGTGACGTCGCAGAAGACACGCTCGCCAATGCTCAGACTGTCTAAATCCGTGAATGTGAATGTGATTGAGATGCAATCAAACGCATCACCGATCAGTTCGTTGTCAAACGATCTGAACAAATTCTCGTTCAGTCAACAAGATGGAAAAAGTGACAAAATGATGCGCGCAAGCGAATTCATCGATCACTCGGATTACAATCAAGATATGACGCAGGTAGAGAGAGAGAGAGAGAGAGTGAATTTAAAAATCGAACATTTTAAAAAAATGCGATTGTCTTAAAACTGATATACACGATCTTTTTTTTTATCTCCGTTTCTCGTGTAATTTTGTTACGTTTTAACTTTTTGTTAGAAGAATAATTTCGCGCAAATTGCAGATTACAAAAGAGACTGGTAGTGCTAAGAGAAAGAAAGACGACGAAGATCGAAACGAGAGAGATATTGGTAAAGAAACGAAGAAACGAAAGAAATCTTACGAAACGGAAGCCATGCGCGACGAGCGTTCGAAATCTATTTCGAAGGATTATTCGAAAACTTGTTCGACCAATTGGCCCGATAAAGGAAAAAAGAAACCGCAGCAGCACGTGATGGTGAGACTGTGGGATAACAAAAATTATTCGTCGACTATTGTAGTATCGACTACGGAATCGGAAGTAAAAAAGACAAACGAGATTTGCAAAATTGTACCGCCGTTAAGACTGAAGAAAGTTATGCGCGAAGGTATGAATTTCTATATTTACAATATGCTCTATATCGTCATATGTCTAATATGCTAAAATTAGATGATGATTTGCAAGTAGTGATTCATTTTTAATTTTTTTATAAAATATTCAAATTATTATTACATATATCACTCCGTGTGTGTATTACTCTTTGTTTATCTCTAATATTGCTTGTATTACTATTTTTCATTTGTCTAAAATTATCTTCAGCAAATACTACCGATGATCACAGCAAAGTTAAGGTGAACACCGAGTCAGAAAATGAGTCGAATTACCGTATCGTCACCGGTGCCACGCCTCGTCCGGAATCTCCGTCCGAATACTCCGCGAATACTTTCTGGAGTAACGTGAACCTAACGAGCAAAAAACCCGATCCGTCGGTAAACAACATACGAGACAAAAGTTGGCGTTCCTCGGCGAAGAGCGACGGCTATAAGATCAAGTATCGTCGCAATCGGTTACGTCAGAAGCTACGAGAGTTGCGTGCAAAAGCACTCGATCTGTCACGCGAGATGGCTGCCGACACCAATCCGCAACAAAGGTAAGATAATGAAACGGAAAGAGAGACGCTATCACAAAAATTTTAGACGGTCGATGTTGCACGCAATTGTGAATTGAACATATATTACAAAATATTATTATGGTGGTACATTAAGAAATTTATAAGAGAATCGTGTAAGAAGCAAATATTAAAAAAAAAAAAAAAGATTATGTTTGATTTGTGTGTTTGTTTTGTATTTTAATAATGCAGCACCAGGCTACGTCAGATGATGAACTGTTATGAGAAACAGATTGAGAACATCTCTAAATTGTTGTGCAAACTATCCGCCTCTATATCACCCAACGACAATATCGTTGATCTTGATTACGAGAAGCCGGATAAACTCACACCGATAGAAAACACTGCTGATGACGAAGTTGAACAGGTAAATGGCGGTGATATAAAAAACGATTTTAAAACTCTATTCAAGCATTTTTTATCTGACATTACGTAATTTATATCGAAAAGGTAAACGGAATATCGACAAGTAGCGTTTCTCCGTCGCCTTCTCCGGAACCGCCCAAATTGTCGCCGCGTTCTCCGATTGACTCTGAGAAAAGTAAATCGCCCGACACATTGAGAGACAGTCCACCCATATTGCCTAGAGTTTACATTGCGATACAGTCGTCTACTGTAGAATGTCTGAAGCAAAATACGGACACTGTTAAGAGTTGGCACAAGAGTGACAACTCATCAGTTTCACAAGAGAAAGAGGAGATCAAATTGAATGACACAAATCAAACAATTCACAACAGCACCGTGACAGTAGCACCAGCTATATCTTCAGTCTCGTCGTCGGAGTTTGAAAGTCCCGGAAGCAACACGGATTGGGACGGAGAAGTGGATCGGTTGGAGTTGAAGAATTCGAAAATCGAAGAAAACATATCGGAAGACGTCAAAACGTTTCACGACAAACAAGAACGTCAATGTGAAGCGAGTCCGTCAATCTCGGACAATTTTCTGGATTCAACAATGGTTATCGAAATGACGAAAACTGACGTGACGAACACAACGGAAGAGTCCGTCGTTAAAGAGAATTCCGACAAAATATTGCAAAATGCTGAAGCATTCACGAGTAAACAAGTCACTTGCAAAAAACTGGAGCTGAAACATATTGAAGAATCCAGCGAGACTTTATCGTCCAGTTTGTCGATCGTTGAGGGAACTAGAAAAGTATATGATACTGAATATGAAAGCTATGATTCGGAAGAAAGGATCGGCAACGAAAATACTGCAGTTGCGAATAGGAATACTGCTGTGCAGGAGGCAACGACGACGGTTAGGCAACTTCAAGCACCCGCGGCCAACGTGACTAACATCTTACAGCTGCAGTCGAATTATTACGGCTCGCCCGTCGCTCAGGACAATATTGTCTTCACGGATGTTGCACAAAACTCAAAAGACGGACGGAAGGTGAATAAATATACAAAAACCTACACAGTGTTTGTTTCAAATGATTATTAAGAATGTTGTACCAAATATTTCATTAAGCTTTTGAATATAACAAAAACGATCTATCATTCTTACTGAATCAAATATACAATATTTAAACATTTTGCCACGCTTTGCAGGTTACATCAAGTATGAATCAGCCTGCGACTTTAGATCCAACAGTGCCCATAAGATTCACCCCATCGGGATCTGCCGTTAGCAATTCAAATCAGCAATGTATTGTGTGAGAGTCTAATTATACCGTTAACATACACACAATTTTTCTACATAAATATGTATTTTAATGGATACATTAAAAAAATTTAAATATGATAAATTTTTAGATACGCTGAGTATATTTCTTTCTCACTTGAGTATTGACGAATAATGATTTAACTCACGGGTTTTTTTTTTTTTTCTAGCCTGCCTAATAGTTGCAGTAGCAAAGTCGTTCAAGAAAACAGCAGTCAGCAAAACGACGGAAGTCGCATCATGACGGAGCAATTTCCTACATTAGGCAATTGGGTAGCGCGAATGTCGAGAGAAAAGAAACAGACAACCAAGTCGAAATCTAAATTGCAATCCGGGGTAACTTTGCCAACTACGTCGATTGCGGAGACCGTGAGTATATTATCCAGTGCATTCAACGATAAAAGTTTACTATGTGAAAATTATTAATTATATAATAAATTAACGATCGGATATTAAAACAACTATTTAATTGAATATTTAAACATCTATTCTCTAATTCTAGTTTCTTTTTTAATAATAAATCACTGATAAAGTATATTTTTTTTTGTGCACAGGTTTCCGGTCTTGAGACCCAGAAAAACCGTGAGAATGCACCAAATAATGCAACTCGAAACAATATAGTCAACGTAGCACCGCAGTGGAATACAGAAAGATGGCAGCGTCAGCAACATCAGCAGTGTCAACAGCAATTGTACGCGGCAACGTCATCAGCCGCACCATCAGTGAGACCAGGGATTTGTCCGCCTATCTCGGTTACTCAGTTCTATCCACCTAATTACGCAGTAAGCACTATATTGAATAACTTTCAGTGATTGTAATCGAATTATTCATTCATTTTTAATTAATATTATAGATCGATCCTTACGGAAGCGCAGCTTTTGGTTACCACTCCGCGATGTGTTCTTATGACAATTATTCCTATCATTCTCGTCTACATGGCGCTGCACCATCGTTGAGCGGATATCAAATAGGTCCGCTGCAGGACTCGCACACTTCGCTCCGCCAAATGTCACACATCGATAAGCGTTTTCCTGCGAATCTGTTGGACACGAGGACTCGCCATTTTGCCAAAGATCTTCTTAAGTATCCTGGTGCTTTATCAACGAGCAATTATCAACACGCTGCTAATAGTTTGGATTACGACCGACTGAGAACGACAACAGCAGCTGCGACGCAGAATGGTTCCGCTCCCCCGGCTTGTCTGCCACCGCTGTTGCTGCCACCACCACCGCCATTGATAGCTCCTGCACAACAAACACTCGCACGCACTTCTTTAGCCGGTTATCCGACAAGTGGCAGCCAATGCAGCAGAAATAGAATAATCCCGGATGTAGTCGCTGCGGCAGCGGCAGCTGCTGTAGTCGCGGCGGCTTCCTTCGGGCGGCAACAAGGTTCTTTACCACCGTACGGAAGAACCGACACAGGAATAGTGTCCGGCGATATCGGCGGTGTTATAAACAAAGAATCCTTGCTTATGGCAAATAGAACAAATGTGAATCGCGAACGATTGTCGCAAGAGCATGTGCAGAGCGTCAATGGTGTCAACGTGGAATCGCGGCTGAACAATAACGGTTATCATCAACTGCAGAATTTGATTCTTGATACATTACCTTACGTGAAGACTGACAACTATTCTCAGCCACCTGCTATTTTCGCTGACAACGCTCAAGAGACCGTGTCTTCGGCATCCACGTCGACGTACAAATCCACTCCAATTCTAGCGCCCGGCAACTCGTTGGCCACTAAGGAATCTACAAGAAAAGAGAGTCGTAACTGCGAAACGCCGCATTTAGGTAAAGTTAGCCGAACGTTAGAAACGACAAATAATTTAGAATGTTCGAATTGCGGTTTGGCTGGTTCCATGTTCAAGTGTCTGGGTTGCGAAGCGGCTTTCTACTGTGACGAGAGGTGCCAAACGCGTCATTGGAACATTCACGTAGAAAAATGTCCTAAGAGAATGCCTAAATTGAAAAAACTTATCTGAGAATTATTGAAAGAATTACAAGAACTCTTTAGATAGAAAAGTCTAAGGACTTTAATAACCAATATTTTTGTTGATTTTATTGCATATATTTATTGCATATGCAAACAAAATAAAGGACCGAAAAGCCGTTCTAGATTACTATATATGTACTGTTCTAGTCAATATAGTCTAAATTGTAACAAATGTGCAAGTTCCATCTTGCAGTCCTATCAGATTTATACTACAAATGTGATAAAAGTGTGCCTGATCGTTGAGATAAAATGCTTACTATAATTTTATTTTCGTGTCTAGTATTCTGCTTTAAATATTGTGAGAGAGATAAAATCTCCGGAATATTTATTATTATATTTGTTTTTATTAAGCGCACGCGTACGTAAATGACGCATTTATTGTGCAATAACAATAAATTTTTTGTCAGTGCTTGTTTCGATATTACTGTGTTATAAAATATATGTTACAAAATGTGCTACCTCTCATGTACCTTATGGATAATCATAGTGATCACTCACACACACATATAATTGGATTTGTTAACACATTGTTGAATCAATTGAGAAGAGTGGAAAAGCCAAGACGAAGAGAAATCCATTGTGACTAACAAAATTAAATAACTTCTACAGTACAATAATTAAACTTCTATTTAAATTTTGAAAACTAAAAAGTAGGCTTACAGAATTAGGTGAAAAATATCGGTAAAATATCATAAACATATCATTGTTTATCTTGTCGGATGGTATTTTTGAGCTATATGATGTCATTGAAGAAATCAAAATAAGTTAATAATAAAGTGATTTTAGTGCACATAAGAACGACGTTAGGTTCTTTTTGGTCTTCTCACTCTTCCTAATTGACAGAAAAAAAAAAAATGTTATTAACATTACTAATTTAATACATCAATACATTATAAATCAAGCGTTATATTCCAACAGGAGACTTTGCAATAAGTTTTATACTTTTAAATAAAATTTTTATGTAGTTTGTGTAAAAGTATTCTATAAGAGATGTGAGATATATGCAATAATTCTTAGATATTGTAAATCATATTTATTAATGTGTCCAAATCTAGCATAAAATTAACTTCAAGAATATGTTGCATATCTTTTTAAAGATAACATTCAATATGTTTGTTTTAGTTATTTTGAGTTATATATATTTGTTTTTTTTTTTTTTATATTTTTATAACAATTTGTAATTGTAAAGGAATTGCACCGTGGAATTGTTTAGATGGATACGTAAATAGATGGGAAATAAAAATTAACATAATGATTGTTTAAATATATATGTAAAACATACACCTGAAAAAATATACATTCTATAAGATTAAAAATATCAACACCATCAAAACTATTTTTATCTGCCTATAAACACAAACAGTATATTTCGAATGTTGCTCTACATGAGCAAAAATTAAAGCTTAACACCGAATTGCTGTGTTGAATCAGCTTTAGCTAATTTATTTAAATATTTATGAGCGTTTTCATAATGAGGACTTGTTTCTCTAGCAATTCTTTCCATCCACGCAGTTAAATGCGGTCTTTCTTTTTTTGGATCATATCCAGCTAGACCTACAAAATGAAACAAGTTTCTATTAATTAAATCAACTATGTAAAACGCTGCATATTATTTTCAGATATTTTATATATAATAATAATAATAACACAATAATAATGATAATAATAATAACGATGATGATAACAACAAAAATAATAATAACAATAATAATATAAACTCACGTGTTTGTTCCAATTCACAAACACCAAATATATCAGCCACACTAATTGTATTTCCTACTAAATATGGTTTGTCTTTTAACCATATCGTTTCGATAATATCGAGGCAATCGTTCATACGTTTTTCGGCTTCAGCTACTTTTTCCGGTTTAGGCGGTGTGCCCCGCATTAGCGGATTAAGAAACTAGATAGTAAATAAACAAAATAGTTCATATATCTCAAGATTTCTTCAATAAAAGAGGATAATTGTTACTTTGTTCAAAAGTCTTATTTTTTTATATAAGCTCAAAGTTAGTTAATATTTTAAATGACTCCTAGCGCTTCAAATATTTTACTTCGAACTATTCGATCAACGTAATCATACCATTTGTCTAATATTTTTCTAAGCTTGTTTTAGTTTTTATACATGTGTAGAATGTAGTAATTACGTATGACTTAAGCGAAAAGATTTTATAAAAGTAATGAAAATTATGGAACAAATTATAGAAAATTGTGGACAAAAATTATCTTGCGTAAAACGAAACTATCTTGTGTAAAAGAAATGTCTCGCCTTTGTCAAAAAATATGTTGCGCAAAAAAGTCTTGTGTTAAGATGTTGCCACTCGAGATATTCGTCAACTTTTGCCTGATGCTTTGAATCTTGTGGATACCATTTATCGTCTACTTTAAATTCTCTGCATATATAACGCACAATTGCTACACTAAAATATTAATAAAAACAAACAAAAGAAAATTAAACATATTAAATAAATGTTTGAAATATATAAACGTATTTAAAAAAAATGTTATGTGCTTGTTAAAAAATAAGTTTATTTAAAAAGTATATAATACCTTTCAATAAGTTTAAAGCCATTATGCTCTATAACAGGAACTTTCTTGAATGAATTGATTGCTTCAAATTTTGGAGTATATTGTTCCAATTTTGTTAAATTTACAATTTGTTCTTCAAATGGTATATTACACATTTTGAAAAATATGTACAATGCTCTTGAAGGTTGTGAGAACAAATCATAATATAATTTTAGAGTCATTGTTTGAGAGAAATATAAATAATCTAAAAAAATATAGAAAATAATAAAAAAAACTTAAAGTATATGAGATGTTCTTACAAAAAATAACATAGGAAAAATTATATATAAATGTTTTATAATACATAAGCAAACATATCTGATAGATATCTATGAATATTGCAATATTCAGAGAAAGAACTATTATCAAAAGATCTTTGACAAAAATGTATAAAAGCGTATTGAATATTGTATTTGTATATAAATATATATATGTATAATTATTATTACTACTTACGATTACTGTGCGCTTATTATAGTTTCGTTAAGAGAATGACTCGCTCAGACAGTGTTTTGTGAAAAAAAAAACTTAAGTTCAAAGTAAAATGTTGCACACGTTACACAAATGTTATATAAATATACGATTGGTTTTGGTTTTTTCTTTTTTTCTTTTATCTATAATTTTTTATCTAAACTATGTTACAGTAATTGATATTGGACTTTAAACCATATTGTTCTGTTATCTTGTTTTCTTCTTTTACATTCCCTGGTTGCATTTTTACTGTCAGTGTTGCTAACTTGTTCTCAGTCTTCTCTCTGGCAAGACGCAAACGCAATTTACAGGTTTCATAGAGTTGACCAATCACGCTGAACAATTAGCTAATTCGATCACCGCGATTAGTCAATTTCTCAAAGGCCTGTTCTACAATTGCAGTCGTAAGAAATTGATCAATCACAATCGATTATTCTTTTGTGATAAATCTGTGATTAGTCAATTTTTTACGACTTATAGCTTACGACTGTATTGCAGAACAGGCCAAAACACATAGAAACATCATCTAAAGACTGCTAGGGACAACACTTGTATCGTGCCGAAATCAAAGAGGGCAGTAGAGGGCAGTACACAGAAGTTTGCTCGCTCGTTGCGCTGTGTTGTGCGAAGTGTACAAGTTGTGAAACGTTGCAAAGTAATTGTCATGGCTTCGGAACGATATAGTTTTTCGTTGACGACTTTTAGGTAAATATAATAATACTGTTAAAGTTATAATTGCACAAACATGATGTAAATCAATATTCTGAATATGTAATAAAAAAAATAATCGCCGTTAGAAATAAAAAAACAGTAACCTAACCTAACCTAACCCTAACTTTTAAGCCAATGTATACATTTCTTAATGATTTTAAATGAAAAAATTTAGTTATCTTATTGGTTTCTACTGACATTGATGTCTCTCATTGGCGAATGCATAAAGAGCCGCTCCGAAATAAACTTTATTTTAAAAAATATGTGATATTAAACAAAATACATATACATCCAATGACTTGTCAAATTGAATGAAGTACATGTGTTAAACATCTAAGATTGCGGAGAAAAAAAAAAATAAAATTATTAAAAGTATTATAAAACTAGTGATTACGCATATTATATTAAGACTATGTGTTAATTTAGATATTTTATTTCTATTTCACAGTCCGTCAGGCAAATTAGTGCAGATAGAATATGCCTTGGCAGCTGTTGCTGCTGGTGCACCAAGTGTAGGCATCAAGGCATTAAACGGCGTTGTTCTTGCCACAGAGAACAAGCACAAATCTATTCTTTATGATGAACACAGTGTCAGTAAAGTGGAAATGATTACAAAACATATTGGAATGGTTTATAGTGGCATGGGTCCGGATTACAGATTATTGGTGAAAGAAGCAAGAAAAATGGCACAACAATATCTTTTGGTTTATCGAGAACCTATTCCAACAGCGCAACTTGTTCAACGTGTTGCTATGGTTATGCAAGAATATACACAATCCGGGTGAGTTATTATGATTTTGACTAATGTGAATAGATTTGTGGGTTTACAAATATTTTTAAATTAAAAATATCTAAGACGAGTAAGATAGTCAAGTATGACATAATTATAATCAAGTGTTATTTAATTTATAGTGGTGTCAGACCTTTCGGAGTTTCTCTTTTGATCTGCGGTTGGGATAACGACAAACCGTACTTGTTCCAATGCGATCCATCGGGCACATATTTCGCATGGAAGGCAACTGCGATGGGCAAAAATTTCATTAATGGCAAAACATTTCTCGAGAAGAGATACAGCGAAGATTTGGAATTAGATGATGCTGTTCATACCGCTATTCTAACGCTGAAAGAAAGTTTTGAAGGACAAATGACGGCGGACAATATCGAAGTCGGTATTTGCGATGCAAATGGATTTAGAAAGTTGGATCCGTCCAACGTTAAAGATTATCTTGCTAATATCCCATAAGTTTAAGTGTTTTTAAATGTATTATCACAGTAAAACTTCACACAATCCTTATATGGAGTCAAAATATCGGATTCTTGTAATAAATCTTTTTTTGTTTAAAGACAAGTCATTCGTGAAACATCTTTTGAGATAACAAAAGAGTTTTAAGACGTTTTATTATTTTATTATTTACGAAGCTCAATGATCATATAAGTCAGAGAGAAAAAGTGCGCTATTCATTCACAATCATACGCAAACTTATAAGATTCTGTATTTTTACATTTCAAACATCCGGAGATATTTTGCACGTTTTTTTGAGTGTTAAATAATTTAAGTTCAAATATGAATAACTTTTTATTTCTTCTAAGTCGTATACGTGTTTCACCATTCTCATATTTTCGCGATATAGCTTTTATCTTCCTCACAATGATATCACGTGTGATTCGACTACTTTAGTCGCGCCCATTTTAAATCGTCTTTCAATGATGACTAATTGATTCGCTTCGATCGATTCGATATTTCGAAAATATCGCCAAACTATATTTTTTTAAATTGTAGTCATAACGCGTAACTTTCCGATCTCTTTGCGGTTACATTTTAACGCTTCGTACTTCTCATGATTATTGCGGTCTATAAAAGCAAATTCTGTGTGCAATAATCACAAGAGAGTAAAGTGTTAGTTAAAAAAAGGAGCGTGATGACGCAGTTTGAGAAAATGTTTTTTTTTCAAAGAACACAGCAACAAACACTGGTTATTATTGGAACAAATGTATAGATATATATGTGTAATTTATATAAATATATATATAATTTATATAAATATAACTACACGATGTTGACACATCGATAACGTGTTCGTACTCGGCTACTGTGTGACCATCAGTTACCGATTGCATCCGGCCGAGACCGCCACATGGGATACGGACGTGCGCGTATCGATCGAGTACCGACAAAAGTAGCGGCGGCAACTATATCAGAGGCACCTTATCGCGAGGATGCTGTCGCTTCTGCACCGCTTTTGCAGTTGGTGCGTGGCTGGCTGGCCTACCGGCTCGTTTTTGCTTGCACCGTGTCATTGTTTTGTGAAATAACGCGCTATTATGTCGCCTTAATCTTTCCATAGTGAAACAAACACATTTCGTATTTATTGACAAGAGCTTTTCGACAGGCAGAACCCTACGGTCCCTCGCAAGTCCGCACTTCGGCACGAATGTCTGCAGGTAAGACATTTGAGATTATTTCCTTTTCTCTTAGTAAAAAAACAAAGAAAGAATAAACTCTTCCTCTTGTTTTGTATTGGTTTTGTTTAATTTATCTGTTTACGAGACCAAGCGAGAGAAAAAAATTGTTACTACGAAAACTATCATCGCGTACATATATATATAACCAGAGATTTTTATAGCTGCGCACGATGTGCCGTAACTCGTCGGTAAGCGCATCAAACCGATTGTCACCGATTTGCTAATTATTTGAAGTGACAAACCTTCAATACCGCGACACAAATCTAGAATTATTTAGTTTACTCGGATTGTTGGCAGCTGGAACAGCGTTGCACCAAAATTGATCGCTAAATGTCACATGTTTTTCCATAGTCTCTGTCATTTATTTCTTTTTTTTTTTTAATGTATTGTCTGTTTTTATTTCTTTCTTCTTTTAATTTTATCAGAGTAAATAAATATATATGTATATATATATATATATATATATATATATATATATATATATATATATATATATATATATATATGTATTATGGATATATATTTGTGAGAGAAAATAATATGTCAATATTACAGTCAAGAGCACTGACATTTACTTTGTGTATCTTTTACCGCAACATTCTATCAACACAATGATATGCGACTGCAATTAGCGATAGAAAAAATTATTAACAATTACCAACGTTTTTTACTATTGATTAAATTTAAGAGATTTAACTTAAGAGATAAATTAAGAGAGTAACTTCTTTCACTTTTGTTTTGATGTGCAGAAAAAATAGATAGAAGAGATAAGTAATTATAGTTTTACGATAATTAATAGTTTAATGAATCTTTCTTTCTCTTTTTCTCTTCTCTCTCTCTCTATCTCCTTCTCTCTCTTCAATAAATATAAAACCAGTTATTTTTTTGATCGAAATTAAATGCACAGACAAACAATTTGTTTACAATGTTTCAACTATACAGCGCGCGTGTGTGCGTATGTAAAATGTATGTGTGGTGTGTGTAAATATGCATATATGCGCGCGCGTAGACGATTTGTTTACATGCGATTTCATCTCTCGCCGTTTCACACTTTGACATCTCTTCCGGCGTCCCGATGTCTGCCGCATGTCAATACCGCGTGCACGAATCGGCGCGTGCATCGCCGGCGATCGATGCAACCCAATTCTAAGCATGCCGTAAATTTTGATCGCCGATACTATCCGAAATACGTAATCGGGCACGGCCGATTACGATTTTTTATTTTCAAACTCGAGTCGTCGGTATGCCTGGACTTTCCAAAGCGCGATCCGCAAAATTTCGCTTATCTCTAACGCGAGACGAAAACTATCGGAAAATCTGATTATCTGAAAATTTATGCTCGAAATTTCGCTTGGCTTATTAAAAAGCGCGTAATTTGTGAAATTCACTTGAAACATATATATGACATCTTATCCGTAGGAAACTGTTGTGTGTATTACGATCCCGAGACTGTTTTTTTACACTTTGAGACTTTCAATTATTTATTTCAATAATAATTTGAAAGAAAACGCAATTTCCTTAGCTATCAATTCGCGTTAGATCGGAATTGGATCTATATACACATATTTATCTCAGGCAATTTCCAAGGTGTGATTTCAAAATGAAAATTTATTCCACCGGATAAAACTCTTGTCCGACCCGTTTGGTTTATCAGCCGTTTCGATTTTATCGACTTATCGGTCTTCATTATTTTCATTACGTTTTTGCGTTTACCCCTCTTCTCTCTCGCGTGCATGTCGGCGCATTGATTACAGAGAGAAGACGATTTCGCGAGCACGGCAACGGTCTTCCGGAAGTCTCCCATCTTCCATTTCAGCGCTATTTGTCGAACAATGGCGGATTTTAATATAACGCACTCGCGAACGCAAACGCGTTTTCATCAGACATCGGATTTTTCATTCAGCACTACTTGTCGAAGCGAGATTCTCCGGGGACAATCACGACCGGCGTGAGAAAAGAAAGAGGAAAGAAAACGGTAAGACATACCTACCGCCTGCGCGCTTTGCAATTTTAATGTCGACATTGCGAGCAACCATTTTTCCTCGCCCCGTTTTTTTTTCTCTCGCCGCGCTCTCGAATCGAGCACCAGATTTACGTATCTCTTCCTCACTATTACGCGAAATCCGCAAAATCCGTCGTCAATATCGCTTATTAAAAATTCTGAGAAGCATCGCGGGAACTTGTTTGGATAATCCTCGCGTTCTCTGCTCTTCGACGTACAACGGTTACATTTTTCATTCAATCAATATTTGCGCGATTGAGGCTTCGCGAGAGAAAAACGATATACAGACTTTTTAGTCTAACACATAAAATCTGAATAACATTCTAAAACAAAAAGATAATAATGTACTTGCTTAGTTTGCGTCAGAAGCGTGTTTTTCTTATCATTTTTCTTAGAATGCTAAATAAAGATATCCGTCGTCGATTTGTATAATTATCGCGATGCAAACGCAAAAGTAATATCGTCTTAGGTTTTGTTCGCACAATGCTTACACACTTAATTACAATTCGCTCGTCTCTACTTCTTACTGATTTCTTTCGTCGCGTACTTACTTTTTTTGATGGTGTCGTTTTGATGATCTGCGCGAGCGGCAGCCTGATGTGCTGATCGCAAGATCTTGTCAGCTGTGTCAGAAAATCGAATGCAGAAAAAAAAAAAAAAAAAAACGAAACTTGATCGTCGAATTGAAGCAAAAAACAGTTTATTGTGTGACTGAGAAACTATAATTAATAATTTTTAAATATTCTAAATATACTTTTTATTATTAACATATGTACATATATGTACACGGAAAAAAAAGATTTGCCAAAATAGCAAGAAATTAGTTACTATATGGCCAGCAAAAAAACATTTGTTAAGTTTAGTAAAATTTTTGTTTTGCCAACAAAATATTTTGTTGATGAAACAAAAAATTTCGTAGGATCAACCATTTTTTTTGCTGACTATATAATAGCAAAACTTTTTTTTCCGTGTATAGTTGTGTGTGTGTATACACACACACGCTGAAAAATTTCTAAGATACATCTAAGATAAGGCTTTGTAACTTAACAACAAATATTTTATTATTATTAAAACTTATATATAAAGATAGTGTTTGATAGCAAGTAATATTCTTACAATTTTTTTTCTTTACCGAAACGTTTATATTTCTGATTACTCTTACGCATTAAATAATAACTTTTATGAATAATAACTTTTCCAAGATAATTCAGATTCTGCGTAAGATATGAAATATCTATCTCTTGCGGTCTGTCATTTCCACGGAAATCTCTCTCGGACGTTTTTCGATTAGTCACTTCGCGAGAGTTTTGCGAGGCGATGACACGTTCTCGATGTGTTTTTTTTTCCGCTCGTAACTTTTCCGCCATTTTTTCTTTTTTTTTTTTTTGACGAATTTCAGACGGGAAATGTCTTCATATAGTTGATCGCGTCTCGTTTTCGAACTCCTCCTATCTCTGGTTCTAATCACTCGGACGTCGCACAAAAAAAGTGTCTCACGGAAAATGATCCTCGTCGTTTTCACCGCTCTCGATTTCGACTGAGCAAAAACAGCAAGTGGCGCGGAACAAGTAAGTAATTTATCTCTATGTGCGCTCCTTAAGTGTCGTTTATACTTTAAGCTAAGTCACTATTAGTTGTCCGCTCGTGGTTTTTGCTCTGTCTATGAGATTGTCAGATCGTCAAATTCCTCAAAGTCGATAAGAGAAACCCGATAAGATTCTTTCGATATTCGATATTCGATTCTTCTCACGGTTTAGGTATCAGTCGTGAAATTGTGATAATCAATTTTTTACTCGCAATTTCTCGCCCGCGCGAAACGATTTTCTCCCCGGGCCGGGGAAAAAAAAAAAAAAAATTAAATTAAACAGCACGGGGAGAGATGA